CCTCGCTCTCGCGCCTTGTCCTTGGTTGCTAAGCAGCCCCTCTAGTATACTAAGGACCCCCTAGGCGCTCCCTAGTCCCCATCTCGACCTCTTGGTCATTGGGACTAGGTGAGTGACCATAGTGTTGTATCTCTCTTCGATTGCTAATGTATAACTTGGTCATTGGGACTAGTCTGTCGCTATCTGCGTGAAGACTAGCTTCGTAGGTCTTGTGCCTTCGTGCCGGCCTCCGCTCTGCCCCGTCGAGTTTCTTGTTGCGTTTATCCCTCTTTCCCTCGTTTTCCCCCTTTCGGCTCCTCGCCGCTCGCCTACGGGGTCGTCGCCGAACGTCGACCCGAGTCTACGCGCCTAGTCGCCGCGACAATCGGCGTATCTTCGAGTCAGGCACTTTAGAGAGCCATGCGAAGACAAGAGAGATGATTGAGGAGTTGAAGAAGCCTCTGCTATGGCATCATCTCAGCCGGTAAATTTTGTTTTGCATGCATGGATTGAGTCGTAACGCATTGCTCAATCTGGACTATTATCAGTGTCAAGCGGCACCTCGAACCACTCGCTATAGCTGCAAATGTTACCCAGGCCAATGACTGCCGACTTGACCAAGTCCTTCTCACTTTTGGGTTCATCTATAATTTCTTCACATCACTCACAGATCTGGAGGACAATCCTTTCCACGCTGCTGTCTGCAAAAGCCTCGAGATGCGCTGGGCCAAGGCGGATCAAGATGTATTTATCGCTGCAGTGGTTCTGAACCCATGGATCAAGATGCGCCCCTTTCGACCCAACATGCAGCTCTTTACTGAAGCGGCATTTCATGTTGTCCTGACTCGTCTTTGGAAACGCTTCTACCCTGACGAGCCGGTACCAACATCACTCTTTACAGAGATCCAAGAATACTTCGACAGCACCGGCAACTTTGAGTCCTTGCGCACAACAATGGATGCTATTGAGAGCCAGGCTCGTGATCGTGTACGTGTTCATGTGCGTCACTTACAGTCCCTTGTCAATTGACTATTGTTCCAGAACACAGATCCCAATCCTGCAAATGTATGGCGCTCCTTCAACCACCCCGATCTTCCCATTCCGGCTCTGAATCGTATCGCAATTCACATCCTGTCGATCTGCCCCAATTCTGCAAATTGCGAACGACTTTTCAGCACACTCGGATTGATCATGACCGACCTTCGATCACGGCTTGGTCTGCCTACCCTTATGAACCTTGCAGAGCTCCGTCTACATTTGCGAGACGAGAACATTCGTAATAACATCAAGGTACGCCTTAAGCGTCACTTCGGAGATCGAGCAATGGTTCCGCTAGTGCAAAAATCGGCGGAAAGTGAGGCTATTGCTGGATGTCCGTCCACAGAACGTGAGTAGTGATATTGAACATAAAGCTGGTAAACGTCTCACATTATTCACAGGCTCGACAACGCATACAGGCTCTCAGGGAGGTACTCCATCCCAAGGAGCCTTCTGTGACCTTGTTAGGCAGCATCAGTGCGAGGACACCGATGCAAACGATGACACAATCTTCCCTTCCGTCATCAAAATCAAGCTCGAATCTCTCTTCGATTTTTCGCTCTCATACTGGCAAAAACGGAGAGGAGAGTCTGACATGACAGCAACGCTTGATGAGGAGCTCGAGGTATGGAACATCTTGGACATGGATGCTGATGGAGAGCCTGCCATGAACGATTTGGGGACGATTGATGGCGCAGGGAGAGAACAACCAGATCCATTCACTAGTGCTGTACTTGGAATATGATACATGTCGCTATATGACAAAGGGGAGCAGTGAGAGTAGGTGAGAGGGTAGGAGGACAAAGGGCGGGTTGGCAATGCGGTCCGAGGGAGCAGAGTGCTAATTTTGCATTATTGAAAGCTAGTATAGATGCTTAGGAAACCTCCTACGAGATTTGAAGCCAAACGGAGCAGCGGGGAGAGCTCGACAATTCAGACCGCGGGGAGGACGAGCTGACGGAGAGATTAGGCGCCGACGTTGGGAATTAGCGTTGTCGGAGCCGCTGGGTCGCCGACAGGTGTGCGAGCGTGCGAAAGTTTACCGTTGGCCTTGTCGACATGTCGACAGGTTTACTATACCTGTCAACCTGGTCAACGGTTGCGTCAACCCGCACATCACTGGCGCCCGACCCCCGACTTCGAGGCCTCGTGTCCGACGCATTCCTTTGCGCCCCCCTTTCACCCCTCCTTTGTCTTCCGTGCAGGCACTTCGCACGGCGCACGCGTAGGTCTGATGCGAGAAGAGACCGCCGAGACAGCGAAGCACCTCCCGCCAGATTGAAGTACACTTGCGGACCGTGGCACATGTACATCAGATCGCAAAGCAGCGTCCACGAGCGGTTCTACCGCTTACTTCACGCGGCAATTATCCAGGGCCAACGCCCACGTCCAACGTTCGCTGCTGGGCGGCTCGAACGAGCCACGAGGCGGCGTCCACGGCGTCGCGGAGGCCCGCGGGCGGCGACGTGCGACGTGGGTGTGTGGCCTGCGGGGCGGCTCGTGTCCACCCTTGTCGCCTCGCGGTTTGTGCGTGTGCTACCGGAAGCTTGTGCTTTGCGGGATGTCCTCCCGCGAAGTGCATGGTGGGACACTCCGTGGACGGAGAGTTGATGACCGGACTAATCGGAGGTTTGGGGCATAGAAGGTCGAGCCTATCACGTATGTTCCAACTCTGGGGATGGCGAGACTCGGCCGGTCATCATGCGGTAGATCAGTGCGCACGACGGAGTCTCACTGTCTCCTTCTCCCTCCCGTTTGACAGTTGCTGGTACGTGCCCATATTTTCTGATCGTCGTACAGGTCGGCTTACCTCTCTCCGTCGTTGTTGACTGGGTTCCGCAGGTTCCCGCATCTCTATTGACGGCAACACTCACCTCAAGGCGGAAAGCACGCCTTGCGCAGACAATGCATTCTACGGAGTTGACTATATGCGCTTGCGTTCAGTCATCCACCTCCTCAAGGCGTTCTCCATCGTGGACACAACCGATTTATTTCCAGGCTTGCGTTCCACATTCACGTCAGATCTCTTCGACTTCAGGTGCTGGTCCAGTACACGCCGAGCCACAGTGCTCCGGGAACAGGTTGCCATGTTGCTAGCGCCAGCGTGGAAGGCGGTCCACCGGCCTGGGATCCAGAAATCGTCGTCGCTGATGAACGCGAGAAGCTGTATGGATAGGTTCTCAGCGGTGCAAATTAGTTTGTTTCTCGACGTATATGTTGCAGGATGCAGCCACCGCCTCAGATTAAAGAAGCTCCAGAATGATTAGAGCCGGTCGACGGTCGGTAGAGATCTTAGACCTTAGAGAACACCATGGGCTAGTCCACATCCGAGGTACGTGGTCATCGGTAGCTGCTCTCGTGGTGGATTCTTGTCCTTCATGTCCCATTCCGATCACAGAGGTCTCGCACCACGTTCCCTCAGGAGCGACCAATCCGCGGACGCGGCCATCCCACTGCACGTACTCCTTCATAGTCCTGTCTGGTAGATGATCTCCGACCTCGCACAGCACGCACTGGACGCTACGGGCGTCGCTGTCGGCGTTGACGTCCGCAGTTAGCACCAGTGTGACACGGAGGTTCGGGTCGTACCATTGTGCTTTGGAGTTAATCAGGGTCTACGGGCGATCGCGGTCATATCGGGTTCGCAGGAACAGCCCCTCCAAGCAAATCTTCGCACTGAGTTTTGGCGGTACGTACGTCGCAGTGCTGCCAGTGCTGCGACGACCGCTGACGCGCGACTCTCCGTAGGGACAGGAGGTTGTCGGTGGAGGCGGATATGCGACTTCGCCTCATCTACGTTCTGTGCTACTGGGCGTTCGTCACCTTGCTAGACTCGCTCCTAGACTCGCGGCGCTCTACCGCTGCGGAGCCTTCGTGTGACTGCCAGCTTATGTCATTGCCTGCCCGAGGGGCTGCTGACAAAGTCAACGAAAGTCGCGCTGTCACACCGTATCGGGTGAGTAGCCGAGATATATCGCTGTAGACGTCGGGTGATGGTTGCTCTTACCGTGGAGGATATAAATCAATGTGCATCTCACTGAGCACATCATACACCGCCCTCTCATATCTCTCGATGGTCCGGTACTGCTAGAGGAGGTCATCGAGCGGGTAATTGGTCAACCACGCGACCATACACGCGCACTCCCCGAAGTGCCGTAGCTTGCTAAGCTGTTCTTCTTGCCTCTCGCGTCCAGCTTTCATCCTCGCGGACGAAACGATGCCACGATCCAAGGGTCTTATAGGGACGCTCGAGCTCGATCCAGACGTTGCGCTCTCGGGCAGGTCCTTGAGTCCGGTTTGGCATTGAAACGGGGGAGGGATTGTGCCAAAGTCGTTTCGGGACACATCGCGGATATGGGAGAGGACCGTGGACCTCCTCGCGCCCGCGCTCAATCCTCGCCGGACAGCTCGTCATTAAGGGGTTGCAGCCACGAGACAGATACCAGTAACCGTCCTCAGCAGCTTCGGATCGTTCTCGGGCACTCAAGCGCGTCAAGATCGTCGGCAGAGTCATAAGATGGGCTCCCCTGTCCAGCTTCGCGGACACGTTGCGAGGGCGAGGAAGGAGGTTGCACATGTCTCTGAGAGATTCCTGAGTGGATGTTTCATACATGACTTGGATCATAACATCGCGTTGCCGGCTTTCATCGGACGTTCACTATGTCGTTGACAGATCGCCCTAGGTGGAGAACATCATTTTCGTGAGTGCCCTGCTATGTGGTTTCTCATCTGATTGGAGCCGCAGATGTAAACGAGAGAATACGGAGAGAGCTCGGACGAGGAACTTGCCAAGGACGGATACTGCCATTGGTGCTGGGATAAGAACATCAGCCGAGGGAAAGGCATACGACGTCCTATCCCTATAAAGTTAGTGTTGCATTTCGAAAGGAATGTAATGTATGGGTACTTCGGTGCGAAGTCTTGGACCTCGGATGCCCCAAATTGGGTCGAAGCTACCCGTTCGTCGAATTCTTATGTGGGGTCGGTAGACATGTGAGCGAAAGGAAGGATAGGGGGCTTGGAGCAGATGTGGTGACGGACGCGACCCAATTAACTGGAGGATTAGTAGAGAATTCGATACAACCAGGCTGATGAACACGGTTGATGGAGCCAAGGGGCGTAGAACGTGAGGGTCTGCATGGTGGTTTGGGTAAATCGAAGCCAGGTCAACGAGGGCAGGCACCTGTCGCTCACCTATCACTTGGATGCAGCATGTATTTCCGAGTCAAAGCACAATGAGGACTGCAGATCACTTCGAGCGGTACAGACTCATACTAGTAGTCTTCTAGGACTGCTTGCGGTTGAAGTTGAGCGTTCTAACTTGCGCCTGGCTTACATAATGATTATGCCACCACATCATCCATTGACGACGCCGAGGACCATATGTACAAGGTTTTTCTGCCTTCACTCTCATCAGCAGTTCCTGACGACCCTTATGACTCTCTTAGAATAGAGCGGCCGAGGCTTTTCGTCGCGCGAGCCTATGTGGATGTTGGATGAACAGCCTATTTCCAATGCGTCACGACTTCTAATACGTATAATATCTCTTGTTCTCATCCCCACTACTCTCCACTCCGAACGATGCGTTGCTCACTACCCATGGAAATCATAGAGCATGTCGTTGATATGCTTCATCTCGATGTACGCGTACTGCGTATACTCAGTCTTACTTGCCGGGATCTACTTCCCCGCAGCCGCTTTCACCTCTTCTATTCTATCAAGTTTGTGCCCATCCTGCGAGAGGTGGATGCACTGTGCAGCTTCCTCGATGGTAGTCCCGAGCTCGCTGACCAAGTACATATCGTCACGGTACGACCAGACCCACGACCAGCCGCAGGTATGTTCCTAGCGGGGTTACTCAGGAAACTCCCACGTCTGCGCCATTGTAAGCTGTTGGTTGGGGGGACGCCCAGTGGGAGGTGCCCTTGTCCTTTCATCCGAGCACCCTTGCATTCGTTAGGACGGCCCTCTATATCCAGGAGTTGGACTTTCACAGCTTCTACTTCACCTCCTGCGCCGAGGTTGCGAGATTCATATGCTCGTTTCCCTTTCTCCGACATCTCGGATGCTCCGATATCCGTACTCGAAATCCTAGTATCCGGCGGCCTCTCGTTCGTTGTCGTCTACAATGTCGGATATGCAGTATATCGGTAAATGCCCTGTTGGAATCGAGTACATATAGGACTGACGATTGCATATGACCTAGATCATGGAAGACGTCGACATCGCTGTGGTGCGACTCATCCTTGAGCTAGCGAGTGCTACACTCGAACACCTTGAGATCTGCTACTTAGAGAAGTCCATCCTCCGGGTTGTCCACGTGTTTCCAAACGAGAGTACGTGACCAAAGTCATCACTGTCCACAGCTTGTCTCACATCCAGATTATAGACTTCGGTCTGCCTGAACTACCACATTTGCAAGTTCTGACGCTCTTGACTAGGAGGCAGCAGCGGAAAGAAGGAGGCACGCCTCTGAAACGCATTGAAACGCTTCTCCATAACGTCAATGCTCCCTCTCTGAAGCAGGTGCGGCTTCAGATCCGTCCGACCATGAGGACATCTCTTGGCCAGGACTACAACCAGATGATGTGGAGCAGCTTGGAGCCTTTGCTCGCCGCCGGAGACCTGGAAGTGATCATTGAAGTTGTTGGTGGGCGCCCTAATCGAAGGGGATGGTGGAAGCGGATGCTCGAGCGGACGTTACCCGCGCTGCACGCTCGATCACGACTCACAGTCGAGTGTCATGCAGGTGCGCACAAGTGTTTGAACGAGTAGAAAGTGAATATGCGCTGACAGTGACGCAGGTCCCTGTGAGCTGCCGGGTCACGAAGGGGGCATCATCGCCCTGACTCTGTCCCCTGATGGCTGTTGGATTGCAACCGCCTCAGAGGACAAATCCATCGTACTGTGGAACGCTCTGGATGGAACAGCCGTTCGTGACTGGGTTGTCCATTACCACCACGAAGTTGTGACTCGTACAACCCTCGTATTCTCTCCCAACAGTCAACAGCTCGCTTCCTGCGGCTCTCGCGATGGGCGCATCACCATCTGGGACGTCGTTGACGGGCGCCGGCTCGCGACCTTGTATGACATGTTCGATGAAACAGACGACGTCACAGCTCGCGTTGCCGTCGTTCCTGATTCTACATGCGCTCGGTCATCAGATGGTACCATGCTCGCGACAGTATCCCACAAGGACGAGAGCGAGGGGGTTGCGCGGATTTGGGACGCTCGCACTTACAAGCAACTCTCCCCAATCCCCTGTCGTCCAGGGTATACCGGGCCTATCAGCTCTGCGGATGGCATTTGGTGGGCTGTCCTCTATGAAGGGTTGGTGCAAGTGATCGGTGCGGTAGACAAGAATGACTCTCCTCTTGCAGCGCCTTGCCATGCTATCTCCGCTACGAGGGGTCTGAAAGTTTGTTCTTTCGATCCTGCGAGCATGCGGATCGCCGCTGCATACAATGAAGGGAAGCTTTGCGTATGGAACCTCCGTACTGGGAAAGAGATCTTGCTCCAGAAGCAGCAGGATCAAGAGGCAGCAGACGCGTCTCACGCGAAAGTCGTACAGTTCTCTCCAAATGGTGCCTTGCTTCTCAGCGTCTGGAAAGCGACCGGAGAGATGGACATCTGGGACTCTTTCAGTGGCGAGTCGCTGAGGTGTCTGTCTCTAGGAGGGCAAGACAAACCCTACCAAGCCAACACAGCACTGTTCTCGCCGGATGGGCGATACGTCGCCTCAGGGTCCGAAGATGGCACTGTGCGGTTGTGGAGTGCCACCGATTGGTCCCCGGTGGCTGTATTCGCAGAGCATCCCAATAGCGTAACACGGCTTGCCTTCTCGCCTGATGGGAGGCTGCTCGTCTCGGGAGCGGAGGATGGCTCGTTGTGCATGCGTGATCTGCGCGAGCTGGAGTTCAGCGACTGGATTCAGGTATGAGGGTAAAGTCCACGTCACAGCTGTCCTGGTTACTCATTCCGAGACTGTGTATACAGGACTCCCGCCGACCGAGACTCGGCGAAGATCAATAGTGTAACAGCCTAGGCGGATTCAATGCAGTGGCGACACTGTCATTGCCTACGGATGGCATATGAGAATCGAGATTATGGGGGCTGGGGGCTGCTTCTCTTCTTCGTCCTTCCCAAGCACCGACGAAGTTGAGACTGCAAGGTGTACAGGAGAGTCGGCATCCCCAGTAGGACTATCTTCCCCCGTGAATCAGATCTTTAGTAGAGTACTGCTCGAGCTGAACAGTTACTTAAGCTACGAACAACCTACAGTAATCACGTTACCTCACTTGGCGCACTCCGCCCACTACCGATCGCAAGCTCGTAAGCCTACACGTAAATGCTACACTTTTAACTTCACTTACAAGGTGTGGTCTCCCCATTGTTTGCGGCTTTCATGGCACATTCGGTGTCGGTTGCTTCCGCCTTGACTCGCTCGACAGCGAGTACTGAAGGCTCCTTGATCTCTTTGCCTCTAAGTATGTAGGCGCATCGACGCATCACCTTTCCGGCACCGGACTAATCATGAGGCCTAGGAAGTTCGGGAGGGGACGAGGTCAGCGACGATGATGAGCCTCGTCAATAGTCGCACCCGACGGAGTCGCATCCACTTACGAATGTCATCGGGAGCAAGGAACCGGCACAGCCTCCGAGAAGAGCGGATCTGATCAATGACATCGACTCCTTATCGGGATCCCGTCTGGCTCTCTCTGGACATTCTTGGTCCAGCAAGGTCGGTTTGTCGCTTGCTCCTCTGAAGTTCCAGAGCATGCTACAATCCCGTTTATACTGTCAACGCATACTCGCGCTGTGGAAAGGCAGCCTTGTCCTACAAGTCCGGTAGGTCGGGGAATCGCCCCTCGCGGGGGAGAACAGATCGTATCCATATTGGGTATGGCCCGCGTCCGGGCATCTCTGGTCGTGGCTCTCTATCGTCAGGCTTTTTTCAGATGCCCTGACACACTTTCCTGCGGGTATTCTTTTATCCTCTTCAGGTGCACCACGCGCAGCCCGCTTGATCAGCTTGGTAATTATGCATTCCTACTCCACTATCCACTGTCGTATATAAACTAGACGAAAAGCCGGAGATCCCGGTATTTCTGGCGTTGCTGCCTTACTCCTCCCCTTGAACACGGGTGCCTTCTACAGCATGGCTGATTCCACCGCTTCCGCTGCCGATCACGCAACTGTACCACCAGCGGCCACAACGGAGCCCAGCTCAAAAACGCCGACCTTTGTTGAGTCGGGCGAGCGAACGGAAAGTCAAGATGTCGTATCCCAATTTCAACATGAAGCATACGGCCCTGGCCCAGGAGAGAAGCCAGAAGACACTTTCGAGATGACGATGGCCCCTGACGACCCTGACAACCCGAAGACATGGTCGAGGCCATACAGGTGGTTCATCACGATGTTGTCCGCGGTATTGGTTCTGAACGCGTGCGTTTATACGTCCTTCTCGAACCTGCTTCACGCATATTGAAGTGCGCCGCTGCATCAGGACCTTCGCGTCGTCTGCGCCGTCAGGGATCGCGGGCCAGCTCATAGAACACTTTCACATCAGTAGAGAGGTCGCGACGCTCACCATCGCACTCTTTGTTGCCGGATATTGCGTCGGGCCACTTGCTTGGGGACCCCTGTCAGAACAGGTCGGGCGGAAGCCCGTCTTCGTTGTCTGCTTCTTCGTCTATGCGGTATTCCAGGTTGGAAATGCCCTGGCGCCCAATACCGGTTCTCTGCTCGTTTTCCGTTTCCTCGGAGGCATGTTTGCGGCATCGCCGTTGGCGAACAGTGGGTGCGTGGGCTCGATGATAATATGGTCTACGCCTCGCTCATCACCTTTTGCTGCAGAGCTGTCATCTCCGATATCTGGGACGCGGATACGCGAGGCAAGGCTTTAGCTCTTTTCACGCTCGCTCCTTTCGCTGGTCCATCTCTGGGTCCTACTGTGTCTGGGTTCATGAACGTCGCAGGCGTATCTTGGCGTTGGGTGTTTTATCTGCAGGCAATCTTCGCCGGCACTTGCCTGGCCGCAGTCGTCTTGTTCCTCCCCGAGACATATGTGTAAGTTGACCCCGTCTCGCATGATCTCTCGCGCATCTGACGGCGTGAACCAGACCTATACTGCTCGTGAGGCGTGCCCGCCAGAAGCGCAAGGAAACGGGCGACGATCGGTACTGGGCGCCCCTTGAGAGAAACAAGCTGCCGCTCTCGCAACGCTTGAAGCATATCCTGGGCCGTCCCTTCGTTGTGCTCTTCTCGGAGCCCATGTTGCTCGCTATCACGGCGTACATGAGCGTACGTACCGCTCGTGATTTCACGCCGGGTATTGGGCTGACGTTTCGTCTAGTTCGTGTACGGCGTCGTGTACCTCCTGTTCGAGGCGTACCCGATCGTCTTCACCGAAGGCCACCACTTCAACACAGGCATCTCCGGGCTCATGTTCCTCCCCATCTTCGTGGGAGGCGTGGCGGGCGTCGCGATCTACCTCGGCTACTTCAACCCGCGCTACGCCGCCGCCATCAAGCAGTACGCGCCGCACCCCGTGCCGCCCGAGGTGCGCATGGAGGTCTGCACGTACGCCGCGCCGATCTTCGCGCTCGCGTTCTTCTGGTTCGGCTGGACGTCGTACCCGTCCGTGTCGTACTGGGCGCCGCTCATGGCGGGCTTCCCGATGGGCGTGTCCGTCGTGTTCATCTTCCTCGGGCTGTTCAACTACACGATCGACGCGTACCTCGCCGTCGCGGCGAGCGCGCTGTCCGCGATGACCGTCGTGCGCTCGCTGTTCGGCGCCGCGTTCCCGCTGTTCGCGACGCAGATGTACGACACGCTGAACCCACGCTGGGCGTCGACGCTCCTCGGGTGCATCGCGCTGCTCATGGTCCCCATCCCGGTCGTGCTCGAGCGGTACGGGCACCGGCTGAGGGAGCGCAGCAAGTACGCGCCGTCGCGCGCGCTGCCGCCGAAGGCGCAGGCGGAGAAGGGCCCGGGGGGTGAGAAGGCCGTTTGAATGAAAGTGTTCGCGCCGTTTTCTGGTCGCTGTGGACTGCGTTATAGACGTTCCTTGGTTAGACATACATTCGTATAATTATAATGAGCTCGCGATGACGATATCAATACCAATAACCTCGTACATGTGTACTATATCCAATCAATACTCAGTCATATCCGGCATTGGCTACCGCTTTGGCTCGCATCCGCTATTGCTTTCAGCATCGGGTCCGGCACCGCGGGTGACCGGCCACAATTCGTATAGCGCCCATTTGACCTCGCGAGAGCTGTTGCAGCTGGACGAACTTGTGGTGGGTGACGCACGCCAGAGTGGACTGGGCCCAAGAATGAGAGAGTAGGGATACTGTTACGGATGATACAACTTCGCGTTCACGCCTCGGCCTGCGCCTGCTGCTGCTTCGCCTGCAGCTGCTCCCTCCACCGCACGAGCATCTCCACGCTGATCATCTTCAAGCCCCAGCGGTCCGCGAACCGCCTGCACCCGTCGCGCCGCATCATGCTCCCCTGCTCGTCGTCCTCGACGAGCTCGCAGAGGACGCCGGCGCGGGGGAGCCCGGCGAGCGCACAGAGGTCGAGCGCGCTCTCGGTGTGGCCGCGGCGCGCGAGGACGCCGCCGTCGCGCGCGCGGAGGGGCACCATGTGGCCGGGGCGGGTGAAGGAGGCGGCGGAGACGGCGGGGGCGGGGGACGCGAGCGCGCGGACGGTGAGCGCGCGGTCGTGTGCGGAGATGCCGGTGGTGGTGCCGTGGGCGTAGTCGACGGTGACGGCGTAGGCGGTGCGGTGGGGGTCTTGGTTCTGGGGGACCATGGGGGGGATCTGGAGCTCGTCGAGGCGGGGGCCGGGGAGGGAGACGCAGATGTAGCCGCTGTGTGGGGGGGGGGGAACGGGTCAGCGTGAGGCCTCGGGGACATGCCAGGGGTTGGCGTTCCGGACGACTCGGAGGGCCGAGAGCGGGCGGGGGGTGAACGCGGACGCGAAAAGAGGACATACCTGGAGTGCTTGATGAGCCAGGCCATCTTCTGGGTAGAGACCGCACTGGCGGCGATGATGAGGTCGCCCTCGTTCTCCCTGCTCTCGTCGTCCATCACGACCAGGAACTCGCCCCGCGCGAAGGCCTGGATCGCATCTTCGATGGGGTCGAAGGCGAAGCTTTCGCGGATAGGGGCATCAAGCACTTCCTGGGGACGGGAAGACGAGGCGGTGGCGGGTATGAGCGGGAAGTCAGTTGCAGCCATGCCGTTCATGTGCAGGATAGGCTTGGAGGCAGAGATAGATGACTCGGGCTGGGACGCAAGAGCTACGGGCGCCATGGCTGTGAACGCCGCAAGACGATGGTCAGGAAAGGACTTGGTGGAAGGGGGATTGAGCGGGGTGCAAGGTCGGAGCGGACGTCGACCATGGCTTCATGGAGATGCGCGCCCGGGGGCGTTGAGTAAGGAGGCGCGTGATTACAAACTATCCATTCGTGAGCACGCGTCTGGGCCAGGAACTCGTGCAATGGCTGCGATGTTACAGATGCAGCGACTGCGGTAGGTATATGTATGTACGAACTTGAAACACATTGCCTGTGGACGACCTACCATGCATCGGCCGAGCGGAACAGACGGTGGATAAGAGCGTTGACTGCGACGAGGACGATTGGCGGAGGACGGATCGGCAGCAGCCGGAAGCAGGGCCGTGGCCAAAATTTATACGGCCAAGTACGGCCAAGTTGGGCGTGCAGCCAGCATCTCGTCCTCTTCCACCACCACCCCCACCTAGCGCCCCCGCCGCTTCGACTCGGACAGGCCATCCAGTCGAGCCCATTAGATTCCTATATATTATCTCCTACGACCGACCGATAGATAATACCCCAGATGGCTCACCTCGCACCCTCCGGAAAGTGGGACGCCAGGTGCGTTTCCTTCCCGCTTTGACGTGTCATCCGCACTCGACTCACCGTCGTCGTGCCCAAAGGTATCTTGGCCCCGTCCCTCACGATGCCAGCTACTACGCCAAGTGTATGCTTGGTGGTGCTCTTGCCTGCGGTTTCACCCACGCCGGCATCACGCCTCTCGACGTCACAAAATGTAACATGCAGGTACGTTCGTCTTGTCTCTCGCGTCGCCATTCAGTCTTGCTTTCTTCTCGCTGCAACGGTACATCCACACAATATGCTCTACCATGTTCTTGCGCTCTCGACTTATTCGACGAAAGAGGGCTCTGGTTGTTGTAATCGACCAAGGTTCCGGTGATTGGTGCGCGCGCGCTGGCAGTCCCCTTGGCCGGTTCCCGTGTCCCTCCATCACTGACACTGCATCCACCTGTCGCTCCGATCCGCTCGCCGATGCCACCCGCACTCGCGTGTCTTGTTCGCGCGGCCTTGTCCTGATGCTGTTGCCCTTGCGCGCATGTCCCCTCGCTGTCGCGTCGGAAACGTGGCGCAGCCGAGTCATAAGCGCCTGCCGTCCCGTATCGGCCCGCCTGTCTAGGATGCATGTCGCACCGTCCGACCAACGACGTTCATCTCCTCTCCGCACAGGTGTTCCCTGGCAAGTACAAGGGCCTCATCTCCGGTCTCCGCACCATCGTCGCCGAGGAGGGCTCTCACGCCCTATGGAAGGGTGTCGGCCCCACCTTCGTCGGGTACTCCCTCCAGGGTCTCTTCAAGTACGGTCTCTACGAGGTCTTCAAGGACGCCTACTCGAACCTCGCCGGGGAGGAGGCCTCCGCCAAGTACAAGCCCGCCATCTGGCTCGCCGGCTCCGCCTCTGCCGAGGTCTTCGCCGACATCGCGCTCTGCCCGCTCGAAATGACCAAGGTCAAGATCCAGACGAGCACCCCGGGGACGTTCCCCGTGCCCTTCCTCGCCGCCCTCCGCGAGATGAGCCGCCTGAAGGCCGAGACGCGCTATCCCTTCGGCTCGCTCGTCCCTCTGTGGTCGCGTCAGGTACGTTCCTCGTGTTCTCGAGAAGCGCGCGGCTGACGTCACCCCGCACGCGCGCAGATCCCGTACACGATGGCGAAGTTCTTCTTCTTCGAGTACATCGTCGGCCTCTTCTACACGCACGTGTTCACCGCGCCGAAGGAGACGTACGGCAAGGTGACGCAGCTCGGCGTGACGTTCGCGTCGGGCTACATCGCCGGCGTCGTCTGCGCCGTCGTCTCGCACCCCGCGGACTCGGTCGTCTCGCTCATGGGCAAGCCCGAGAACCGCGGCAAGGCGCTCGGCCAGATCGCGTCCGAGACCGGCATCGTCTCGCTCGCCACCAAGGGCCTCGGCACGCGCGTGCTCATGATCGGTACCCTTACCGGCTTCCAGTGGTGGATCTACGACTCGTTCAAGACCGCGATGGGCCTCGGCACGACTGGCGGCAAGTAAGCGTCGGCACGAGGGAGCGGGAAGATGGTGTGTGTGGAGCGGTGGGGGGAGACGTGCAGAAGCGTGCGGGACGGACGGCGCGGTACGCGTTGTGGCTGCGGTCGATACGATACGTTCTTCTGTTATCCTATGTCGGTGCCCGCTTCTCCCTGTCAATAGAGTATCACGGACATACCCTACCTCTTCGGTGTGCTGAGGGATACGTAAGATGCGACAGACAATCATTGAACTCGGAGGAAGCCGTGCAGAGGTCACCGTCGAAGATGCAATCCGCGGGCCTATTAGAATCACAACAGTGTAGTAGCAGAGCAGAGGAGGCCTGTCAGAGCAGCCCAAGCACGATCGATTTCGATACAAATCCCAGAGCAACACGCAGAGAGAGCACAGCGACAAACGAGACTACTACACCACAAGCGGGCGCGACGGGGCTACAAATACAAGGTCCGGAGACCGAGCGTCCACGACGTCCTACGACCGTTAAGGTCGATCAACTACACTACTAAAACTATGAGAAACAGCCAAACAAACAAACAAACAACAGAGGCAGAGGAAGCTAAAACACCAAGTCCACGAGGAGGGCCACGCCGAAGGCGGCCAACGTGAGGAGGGGGCGCCGAGTGCTGTAGCCCTCAAAGGGCAACAGCGGCTCCGGCGACTCCTCTGGCTCCTCTCGCGCAGCCTCGCGCTCGGCGGCCAGGTCCGCCGCTGCCAACTCCTCCCGGAGGTCCTGCGGCAGGTATGTGGGGATCCACCGCTTGCGGGGTGACGTCGCTTCGTGGGGAGCGTCCGCGGGAGCACGAGCTCGGGGGCGGCGCGGTGGTGGAGCCTCGGAGTCGGACGCGGACGAGGAGGACTCGGACTCGGGAGGCGGAGGCGGAGGGGGAGGACGGGCCTTCTTGGCCTTCGCCGGGCTCTTCTTGCTCTTGCTCGTGGGCACTGTCTGCACCTTCTTGTGCTTGAACTCGCGCGTCGGTGGGGCGGGCGGGGCGGGCTCTGGGGGAGCTGGAGGAGACGGAGGCCGAGAGCGCGGCGGGTGGACGGTGACGGACGACTCTGACGCTGACGACGTCGAGGTCGTCGACGGGGCGCGGAACCGCCGGCGCGGGCGTGCGGGCTGCAAGGGACGGTTTCGTCAGTCCGAGGAACTGTGGGGAGGAGAGGCGGAGGTGTTCACGTACCTTATGGCGCGGCTCGTCGTCCGGCGGGAAGTAGCGGCGGAGGTGTTCACTGAGACTGCGGCACGGCGCGAAGGGCGGGAGTTCGTCCAGGCGTGCAAACCTATCGTTAGTGTTCGCGATCCGATGCGGGTTTCGTCTCCACCGTGTCGGTGGGGGAGTGTCTGGGGGAGGGGCGACTGCGTGGGACGCGGTGGTCGTTGCTTTGACAGGAACCTCGGTGCTTGCGGTAGGGACTGCCAAGTCCGCAGCGGGTGCAGCCGTGATCGCTGCTGGTGAGACCTCAGATTCAGGAGGAGGAAGGCTGACCAAGGCCTCAGAGCAGAGGTCGGAAACACGGATAACTTCACCCCGTTCCTCGGAGAAGGTGGTGGTGGGCGATAGCCTCCCGGCTTCAGCGTCGCAATATCCGTGTGCACGCGCGAACAGGCCGGAGTTCTCTCCAGCTGGCTGATAGGCCGAAGCAGAGAAAGACGTCTCCGCCTGGGCACCGGACTCACACTGTGGTTGGGTATGTACCATTGCCCCTCCCTGAACGTCCGACTCCAGTTCAAGCGGCCGACTCTGGAGTGCTGCCTCCGTGTTCGCTGTGTCATCGAAAGCGTTCTCAGATCCTGGGTCTTCTGGTACTTCCTCGCTCGAATCTTCTCCACTTGGAGTAGGAGGAATAACAACGTTTGCATCGACGTCGAGCAGCCAGACGTGGTCCTCTTTCATGGGGATGGAGACGTCGGCAGGGAAGGAGGCGTCAGATGCCTGAAGCGAGTCCGCATCCAGAGATCCAGCGAATGCAGTTATGGCGAAGTGAGGGTCATGGGGAGCAGCGGCTGGGACGTCGCAATACGAGATGAGATCCTGCCCGCTGTTGAGAGTGCCGACAGAATGAGGCTCAGAGGCTGTAGTAAATCCAAAGTCGATCAAATCAGAGACTCCCTCATCCATCGCGCTTCCGGTATGCGCTAGGATCTCCTGCCATACAGCTTCATCGAAAAGGAAGGACGATGGTGGATCGCGGGTGTCGACACCAAACGCATGCTCGAGATCAGCAAGGGCTTCGGCCATTTCCGCTGCCATGACTTCAGCCAGATGGGCGTCGTCGGTGGTGGAAGGTGGGAACGGAGACCGAGCGGTTTGCGATGTTTGAGCGTCGCTAGGAGAGGGCAACGTTGATTTCTGCACAGGGAATGCCTGCGGACCAACGTCAGAAGGGCGATCTTCGGCGGGATCCCACGCTGCAGCGATCTCTTTATCATCGTGGGTTTCCGCCAGAAGCACGTCGCCATACAGTCCTGATGTCGGCGGAGGAGTTGAACGAGCGACATCCGATGGTGGTCTCATCTGCTCGCGGTTGGAAGACTCGATAGGGAAATCGGATGAAGATCTCCCTGCTGTCTCCTGTGTTGGCTGGCTCCTGCATGATCGAACATCATGTCAGCGATCAATCTAGCAGTGTTTCTTGCGGCACTTACTGCTGGATTGATGGGGCTGACCGGCGCTCCGAGCCTGGCGTCGTAAATTGACGGCTGCCAGAGCCGGAAGGCCGTTGGGTGTGACTGTCTCCTGAGAAGCTGGCGAGGTTGAAGATCAACGTCTCGGGGTCGAGTGCACGAGCAATGTCTTGGGCCGCTGAATCAGTTGACATCGTGGTCTGCGTTTCCACCAGAGTATCAGACGTGTCCTTCGCTTTGCCTTTGCCCTTGTCAGGCCGTGAAACGATGGTCTCCGCAACTTCAGGTTCAGAATTGCGGACAAAGCTCTCGATATCATCTCCCGGAGCTTGAGTCTGAGGTCGATACGAGGGCCCAGTTTCATTCCGAAGGGCAGAATGAGCTCGTTGTCCTTTGGTCGCTTGATCTTCGTCCGGAGGTTGAAGATCTTGTCTGGGAGTTACCTCGACATCAGCACCGCACATCAACGAGCATGGGAGTGAACTCACTGGGACGGACCGGACGTGCGCGTAGCAGACGCAGACGCAGACTCAGTCGATTGACTAGTCAGGACTTGTGCAGAGATCGACTGAATGAGCTTCCTGCGCGCCTCGTCCTGTTTCATTTGAGCCTCCCTGCGTCGAAGCCTGGCGGCTTGTGCTGCTTCTCCGCTAGGGCGATTCTCAGTGGAAACGCAAGCTGCATTTGCGAGCAATCGAAGGTTGTAGGCGGATCCCGCTCCGTTGTAATCTGCCACGACCGGAAGGATCTGGGGACCACCGGATCCGCTGGATGGTTCAGAACACTGAGTGGGGATTGTGGGAGCTCCAGAGTTCGACGAAGAGGAAGCTGCAGAAACTGTTGGAGGAGTTGCAGTGACCAGCAAATGGGGCGATTCCTCGACAGACACAGCTTCGGGCGCAGGAGCGGGTGAGGGTTTTGCTGCTACCGGACGCTTGGTCGGGTTAATGAGTGCAGACTCGTCATACTCGTTGCTTTCTTCCTCGCCTTCTTCGTCCCCTTCTTCCTCGGAAGTCTCCTCATCCTCCTCAGGGGTATAGTCATCGTCTTCGCCTTCGTCATAATCCTCATCGTTATAGAGGTCGCCGTAGTATTGCTGAATCTCCAGCTCGTCGTCCGTCTTCCCGAGCGATACAGCATCTTCATCATCTTCGTCCTCACCCTGCGCATCCTGCTGATCATTGTCTTTGTCCTGAGCGACTGTGAACTCGTTGAGATCACCGACTCTTTTGGGACGCCCTTCGGGAGGACCGCTAAAGCCGTTAGAGGCGACGACCCGCTCTGGACCTGCCTGCGCAACAACGGGCGCAGGGACTTCTGGAAGGGCTTTCGCAGGCGCATCCTGCTCGACGGGCAGGGGACTTGATGGAGGAACACCTTCATCGTTAGTGTCGGGAATGGCGACTGGCTCCCACTCTGTCTCGTCGTCAGTCTCTTCTGCTTCGTCCAAGGGCGGGTTGTTGATGACGGCAGGTTCGGCGGGGGCGGCAACAGGTTCAAGATCGTTCTCAGACGTTGGCGACACTGCGATAGACTTGTTGTACTTCATCACGATACTCTGCTTCATTGAAGCAGAGGGCGTCTGGGCCGAGGTGGAGGTGGGGACATCAAAGAACAAGGATGATTGGGGAGGATTCACTGAATCCTTCGCAAGCGGCTGTTCCTCCTCGACAGGAGTCGGTGGTGGTGAAGGCGCAGTAACTTGGATGACGATCGCGGACATGTCGCAGTCCACCTGGCTGTCGAAAGCGGGGGACACGGTCCAGCCATTGCCGTCCATCTCGATGTCTTCCATGGGAATCCTCCCAGGAGACGGATCGATGGTCATGGCCTCGGACGCATGGAGTGAAGGCGGCTCGGCAATGTGGCGTCTGCGACGAGCCTGCAGACGGACACGCTGCACCATATGCTGGGCAGCGCGGTGGGCACGACGTTGCCTACGCTGCACGTCCAGCAACAAGCGTCCGCCGGGAGAGGCATTAATGCTCACATCGTGTCTCCGCAACTTGCTGATCGCCTCACGAACAGACTGAACGCCGAGCTCGGCGCAAATGTGAGCGCAGACCTTCACATGACGCGGCTGGATAGCTGTGAGACTGCGTAAGAAACGACGGAGAGGCGGAGCACGGATCTTGAGCCGTGGCTCTATGGCAGCTATTTGAAGCAATCGCATCGCAGCTCGTTGGTGACCGTAAGGGCGGCGGCGGCGGCGGTCGTGGCGCCCGAGGTGTGGCACCTTGATGTCGACTCTCATGTCGGAGCTTGCGGCGGTATCCATGTCGACATCATGCGATTGTATGACGTTGTCTGTATGGCTGGCGAGCTGCGGGACTGCGATACATTGGGGAATGCTGATGGGATTGGCGACGAACGGCTGGCAGAATGACGACGACGAACTAGCGGACCAAGATGACGTCGACGGAAGTGGGGGAGCTGACGACCAGGATGGCGCAGATGCCCAGGAGGAGATGGACGTGGTAGAAGGTGACGCCGACGTCCAGGCAGATATCGATGGTGCGAAGACGGGTGCAGGTGACCAGGAAGATACCGGGGGTGGCTTGAACGACGCAGACGCCATAAAAGTGGGTGGCGATGACGCGAACGCTGAATGGAATTGGGGAGTTTGCGGTGTGGCGGTAGGCCAAGCCATTTGATATAGCTGCTCGTCTTGAGCAACGACAGCGGCGATGCTAGAGGAGGGAGGGAGGGAAGGCTATTGGACGGCGCGGACGAACGTCAGGTACTGATAAAGCGCTCCGATGATGGCACAGAACAAAACGAACATACCTGGGCTGGGGTTTCCGAGTCAACGAAGGTCTCGGACAGCGCCCGCGCCGGCGGAGTTGACGATCTCCGGGATGTTGCTCCTGCATTCTCTGTGGAGGGAGCGGCACCATCCACGTCGTCCTGGCCCTTTCCCTTGCTACATCCTGAATTCAAACGGTAATCCTCCTCGTCCTCATCGTCAAGCCCTCCGAATATCGCTTCATAGTCCGGATGCTTGGAGGACTCAGCTTCTAGGTTACTAGACTCAGCTTCGGGTGGGACGGGTGGCGTCCACGGATACGGTGACTCTTCGGGACTAGAATCGCGATGATAGCCTGAACTCAACGCAGGGGTGGACGCGGTAGGAGTATCGTGCAGCTGGAGGGCGTCTCGAGAATCGGACTGTGGCGGCTTACGATCAAAGCCGTTCTCGAGGAGCAAGTGCGGGCTCCGAGCCGCCATTTCGCTCTCTAAGTCGTCGAGGAACGATTCTGCCGCCGCTCGTTGTTCTGGGGTAGGCTCGTCCGCCACAACTACGAAGCCTTGCGCATCGACTGGTCGAACGATGTCCTCGGTTCCATTGTCTTCTGCTTCTGTGGAGGCCTCATCTTCATCGTCAGTATCGAGGTTCTCCTCGTAGCACCCCAGGTTGGGACGGTAGACACGTCGATGGAGCTTGGACACCCGACGATGCGAGGAGACCTCGACCTGTTCCGTACCAAGACGTTTGATGACACTTCCGGTATCCATAGCGAGGTATGAGGTCATGCCTTCATAGGGCAGGATGGCAATCTCTATGGGCGCCGGCGAATTAGGACGAGTGGGGACCAACGAGCTGTCATCGTGCTCAAGTAATGGAACCGATGGCGCCGACGGATGTGATGTGGGAGGCGGATTATACGGTTCGTACGCCTCCGGTACACGTTGATGCTCTGAGCCGATGAGGGGGGGAGAGGGGATATAGGGGTAGAGGTCGTATTGGCTCGGGAGTGGGGGGGAATTGGGGCGACGCGCCGGGGGAAGAGGTCGCAAGGGCGAGGGAGAGTGGATGGGTAGAACTCGCTCGAACCTCACTGTCTTCACTGATTTCTTCACCCTTGACCTCCCTGTCTGCAAGGTCGGATATGGAGTCGCTCGGTGACCCAACTTTTCCGTACGCCGGACGCTTGAAGGCGAGCTGAAGTTCATGAGTTAGCGAAAGGTTATCATGAATAAAAACGGTAGATCAATACGAACGGATCAGCAGGAAGATCTGTTGACTCATGCAGCAACGATGTGGAGCCAAAGGCCGCGGCTAGGTCGTCGAGGTCGTCGTCGCGATCAGCCATGAACGATGGTGCAGAGTTTGCCTCCTTGCGGATGCTGCGCACTATGGACTTTCTGCGGTTGGATTTTGACTTCCGGGCCTTCCAAGGTTGCGCTGCAAGCTCAAACCGGAGAATCATCTGCTCCAAGTCCTCCAACTGCTGCCGCACCGCCTCACGCTCAGCCGCTTCTTCATCTGACAATGTGCTGGCTCTGAATAACAGTCTAGAGGTCAGTGCACGAGTGCACGTGAAAACAGGAACGCCTACGTCGCAGAGATGAACTCTTGCTCCTCGAACTTAGGGATTGCCACGCCATTGCGCTTGAGCTTGATCGACCTTCCGGAGACTCTGACTTGCCCGTAGGCAGTGTTCTGGACGCGCTCCGACGCGTCCGACTCGACGTCGGCTTGAGTGGCGTCGGCGTCTTCTGGCGTTGCAGGAGGTGGCGAGACAATCAGCGGACCAGAGAGAGACAGGCTCGGGTGAGCGTAAGATGCAAGAGTATTGTTGTACTGACATACCGTAGGGGGTCGTGGTAGGAAAGGAGGAGTCATGCAATGTACGGTCCATGTTCGTTCGCACTGTGGCGGGTGTGTGGTTGGTTCCGAGTCGTGTCGAGGAGGCGAACGCGACCGCAAGCAGGTTAGTGAGGGGAGGTTTCCAATAAATTGGCGCACAGGTCTTGACGCGTCGCGCTCGTCGTGAAAGTGGATGGGGAGGATGGGGAGGAGATGGGGGAAGTGGTGGCGGGAGGAGAAGTGCGCATACACGGGCACCTACTCCGGGCTCGGCTAGGAGGGCGGTCACGGTCCGGGGGACTTTGGTGGCAGTGGCGTGCACCTCCGTTACCAGACTGCTTGCATCCACATAGACTGACGATCAGGGTATTCGCCGAACTTCCATCGCCTGCCTTCTGCAGAACGAGGGTGCGCCTGGAGCGGACGCATTTGTTCCCGCGGTCGACGTGCCAACTCGTCACCAAAAGAGAATCCTTGTGCACACTGGCATACTCCGTGGGCATAGATTTGTCGACGCGCATGGATAGCGTGGCCGTTTCTGGGGTGCGTGGACCTGGGCGGTTGCCGGGCTTGCACAATAGCGCACGAAGAGAGACCCAAGTGGTCAGTGCCTTGTCCTTCGCTAATGAGGCTCAGCACAGCCACACATCCGATTCGCTTAGACGACTCCGGCAATCTCCGCCCTTCCTCTTCATGAGTATATTCATCCTCTTTCGCAAGACGAAGTCTGCACCGTGCGCGACAGAAGTGAAAGCCTGCCATAGAGTACATATTCTGTGGAGTGTTAAGGCACTCGAGGAGAGGACAGAAGTACTTACCTGTGGTAGTGCTATCTCCACGGGCGCGCACTAAGAGCCTCGCGGACGGATGAATAGATCTTTGTGGTAAGGGCTCCTGCCTTCCTGGGATTGAAGTCCGCTAACTCACTTCGGCGCAACACATGTGTCTTCGGAACATCGAGAGAAGACGCCATTCATCATACGCACCTACGATTGTTGCTTCCCCTACCTATGAGAATATTGATGACCGTGCCCATGGGCGGCGGATCGATGTGCTCCAACGACGCGAAGGATGATGAGAAAGGATGCTGATTACGCAATTGTAAGTACGCACGTTGGTGTTGGAGCAGAACCAAATAAAGCTAACGATACAGTGACAACGTACTACCTGCGATCTCCAGATACAAGAACAGAAAGAGAGAAGATACCGGAGGACGCATCGTGGCTCTCGAAGCTCACGCTCGCGATCTCCGCAAACCACGATTCATCAACCAACCTCCGGCGTGCGCGCGGCCGCGCGCGTTCTCCTTTTCGAGCAGGCGGGAGCAACACTCAGTCGCTGCCAGTAATACCGCCCGTCGCTCCAGGAGCTGCGATACGCGCCGCGGCGTCGTCCTGGGTCGTGCACGCGAGCGACGTCCCAGGCTTGTTGACGAGCGGGAGCGCGAAGCACTGCGTAGTCGCCGCGCAGCCCATGTTGATGAATTTGCCCCCCACGCACATCGCGAAACCGCCGTCGATGCACGCCTGGTCGCCCTCGTTACACGTCGAATCCGCGGAGAGCGTTACGAACTGTGCGTTCAGCTTCTGTGCGTCGAGGGCGTTTTGGAGCTGGAAGTCTGAAGATGACGAGGATGAGGACGCGCTGGATGTGGCGGACGCGGCGGCGGAGGTAGTCGTGGCGGCGGCTTCAGTGCTGGACGCGGCAGCCGCAGTGCTCGTAGCAGCTTCAGCGCTGGTAGTTGCGGCCTTCGTGGACGATGCAACAGGAGATGCCGAGCTCCCAGAGTTCGAGGCGGAGCCGGAGCTGCTGGGGATGTTTTGAAGACCAGGATCCTGAGTGATACTGGTGAGTTGGCTGCCGTCAGCAATGGGCCCAGTGGGATTCGCGGGGCAGGAACCAAGGGGGGAGAGCGGCGCGGAGAGGCCGAAGGGAATGGTGCCCGCTGAGCCGAGCGCGACGCCACCGACGAACGTCTGCTGGTCCGCGCCCTTGTACTGGCACTGGAAGAGGCCGTTGAGCTCCGAATTCTTGGGATCCTTCTGGCAATATGGGACTGCCTGCGAGTTCGGCTGTTTGAATAATATCAATATTTAAGTCGCGAAGGGGTCGATGAGGGACGTACCGTATTGCGCGGTTGCTGAACGAAGACCTGAGTGAGCTTGATCATGTCCGCGTCGTTATCGAGCGTCTTCGCAAGGTCGATCATCGCGTCCGCTGAGTCCTGTTGGTCACAGGGACCAGCGGCAGCGAGCAGCGTGGTGAACGCCGTCACTGAGAGGGGATTGCATTGTTCGGCACCACCAGCCGCGAGCTGCCCAAATTCCAATCAATGTCAACATTCGTTCGCACGGTTCGAAATATGCCAAGTTGCTGCTGAGGAGTAAACACAAGCGATCAGGCCACTTACACAAGCATTCTCCCAGAGAGAGGTCGAGTCAGCAATGACTTGCGCGATGCGCTTGTTGAGGAGAGGCGCGCCCTGTGCGTGCATGACGAGGGCAGAGAAGGAGAGAAGGAAAGCTGAAGTGAGCTGAACCATCGTGAAGTTGAATAGTGCTAGTGGAAGGCTAGATCGCGTCTGGGCCTAGAAGGGAGCGTCGAGCTATGCAAGCAGAAAAACGATCAACGAGAGGAAGACTAGGGTCGGAGCACTGCTCGAGCCGGAAGGGTGAACTGAACACTTGAGAGGGAGAGGAGTGGAGAACAAGCATCGCACTGGTATTGCGGTTTATATACACACATGAACTCCTTGGGTGCAGTCGCGCGCTGTTCTTCGTGTTCGCATGGACAGCTTTACGTTGCGTCCCACGAGGATGACCTATTGTACCGGATCGGAGGCGCGAGCGGTAGAAGGCAAATGCCCGTCTCCATGCAACAATGTCGGAACCCACGGATGCCGTTCTTTTCTCTCGGGATCGGACAGGGCTTCCCAGAGCTTTGTCTCCTTGGCATGGGTCGTCTGTGCTCAGAAACAAAACGAAACTGTACTGAGTTCACAAAAAAAAAGACGTCAAGGTGTCTTTGGGGTGAAGCAATACGTGAAGCTTGAGCTTGAGTGACGGGCGTTGAACATGGTTGCGGACAAAAGTGCTTTGCATATTGAGCGCCTGTTCTTTGTTTGGGAGCCATATTTGCCCACCTCGCCAGGCGCGCGCTGGCCTCGATTGCTCTCTGTTTGCAGGCTACCCATATAGCCGCACTCGATGCAGTGATTGCTTCATCATTTTCAGGCGGGCTGTGTCTGCAGGGTGGAATTGAGCATATAGCGCAGAAGCGAAGTTCTCCATCATGTCCTATGCCAAAGAGCCCCAAAGCAACGGGATTGGACGAACGTTGAAGCTGAAGGGCCGCATCGGAGTAGGTTCTAGGCTAAGGCAAACAAAAAAGTGGAACTTGGAAAGCCTTGGAAAGCCAAAGAAAGCTCAGAAATCTTGTAGAATTTTGATGCAGTCCATGAACGAAGGCCTTCTCCCGCTGCGGCTCTGACGTACTTCGAATTCGCTTGAACAGAGCCCCTGGAGAAGAAGCCATCTGCAGGCTGCCCATTGCTCTATCTAAGGAATCAGGTGCCTGGGTGGGCAGCCCTGCCACTATCGCTGCTCAGAGCCAGGCACAGCATCGCACAAACTCCTGCTGAGGCAGTTACTCCCGCGCGACGGTTGAGTCAGAGCACCTTCCCGTGATTGCTCCGCATGGACCCCCCTTCTGAACTCGCATGCCGCAATGCCGCTGCAGCTTCATAGAAGCTTGAGCGCCTGATCTCCATCCAGCGTGTCTTCAGAGCAGAGACAGGACAGCCTCAACAGCGACGAGTAGAGTACGATCATTGCGACTCGCATGTGGGACTCACCGCAGAACGGAGTGCGATGCGGATCTTCTTAGCACGAAACGATTCCTCCTGGGGTGTAGAATCCGCGCTTCAGCTTCGAGACCATGCCTCGTTGTGTTTTGAGGTCTGGTGAAGTCATCTGCAGCTATAGCTCTACTCTGCGAAGTGCGAAGCGGGGAGATCGCAACGATGCGGGCAAGAACGTCAAAACCTGGAGCAACATGGCAAAGATCAGGATGAGATGTGATAGCTCACAAGACGAGGGAGCACACATACCGCCGTCGTCATGGATGCAAGCTGTAAGCGCGAAGTGAGTTGTTGAGTCCATATGCGCAGGCGTCGACGGACGAGCGGTTCATTCAGAGACTGTCAGCGGCAATGTCGTTTCCAAATCAGGTTCACGCTCCGGTAGTATCTGGCCCAGCGGGGTTTGAAGTAGATAATCCTGTCGCTGCGTGGCTGCTCGCAACTAATTCTCAAGCCATGTTTTTTGTGTTGCGGGCCATCATGATCCATCTGCTCAGTAGTCCCCTAAGCCGTGGGCACTTCTACTACTTGCTAAGCCAATCCTACATCGCGACGTTAACCTCATGCACGTCCGGGTCTATCTCAGCCAAATGTCATAGTTCGCCAAACCCTCATCGACTGCGAACACGACCGGTCGATGAATGAATCCTTCAGTACGTATATATCTTATGCTGGGCTCGCCCACTTCCTTCGGTCGCAGCTCGTCCTGTCTTTGATGCTCCGTCATTGGCACCCGCAAGTAGCTCTCACTAGCGCTTTTGTGCCGCGTCAAGTGCAGGATTGCAAACCACTATAACACTCGGAAGTTGGCTGCCGTATGCCTCTGTGACATATGAATGGCAGAGGAGTATAAATAGTTGGAGGCGTTTGCTGTTCGTCATCATATCCAGTTAGCCCTCCTATCTACACGCAGAGAACCGGCACATAACCCCCTCTGCATTCGCCTCCGCAAAGTCCAGCGTGATGTCCTAAGGAAGGCAGTTCACCTTCTACGACCACGTCGGCGGCCTTAAGCCCTTCTCTCTTCCCTGTCTGTCACGGATTGATTGATGTTTTCCTAAAATGCTTCCTTGCTTCGCGTTCGCCAAGGGCGAGCAGAAGGCCCTACTAGAGTACACCAAGTACTACTACTCCGGACGCATCCCGGCGCTCATTGATCACCACAACGGCGACTTCGTGATCTGGAAGTCGGCCATCCTTCTCTACCTCACGGGCAATGACGACACCGAGGAGCGCGTGCGTTACCGACGACAAGGAGAGGCATACGTTCATCCAATGACTGCCGCTCTTCCGCACATGTGCTAAGGACGAAGAAGCTAGAAGCCGGTTTCTGGTGCGTGCTGCGGTAGAGCTGCTGACTTCGTCGAGAACCTACTACACTGATATGGCGAGCGATCGAGCTGGTCTGTTCCATTTCCAGCAGGGATACCTGACTGATCTTGATCGAACTCAAACTTCTGTCTGGTATTAAGAGGGCCCCCCAGACGGCGCAGCGTCATGCCTCAGTACTCAGTCGCCATGCTCAGAACCCTTGAGTACGAGTACACTCCCCACACAGTCGACAATCGCCCGACCGCGGCTGCTGCGCTTCTGGAGAGGCGGCATGTCCAGGTGCTTGCAGACTTGAATGAGTTAAAGCGAAAGGTCAGTGCTAAGATCTGATACAGCCTCATTCTCGCCTGGTGCGGCTCATGAAATAGCTCACATCATACGTCTCCTGTAGGGCTGGAGCGAGGAAAGCCTCCACGGTCACTTCAGCCGACAGCGCAATATAGCGGACAGGCCTAACCATCAAACCGAGAAATTCTGGTTTGGAATGATGAAGAAAGGTATGGAAGAGTTGGACGCCGCCACCGGCATTCTATCTTCCAATCACCGTGGTCAATTACACTTCCTCGATGTCTGGTATGTTGTTGTCATGCACTGGCCGTAAGCTATGACGCTCATCGTACGTTTTCACCATCATGTCGGTTAGTTGTGCCCCTGGCGGATTCAGCTCCTATGTACTGGGACGGAAGCCCTTCGCCCGCGGAGTTGGGATTTCACTGCCGGTCTCCTCCGGGGGTCATGGATTCAAGCTCGAACCCTATTTCCGTGCCCACTACGACCTCATCGAAAAAGATATATTGGAGTATGACCATGCCCTCCACGATCAATCCGACTCTCCGGCAAGATTCCCTGAGACGATGTCCCAACGATTCGACCTTGTCATTGTTGACGGACATGCCTTGCGGACCTATCTAGCTCCATTTCCTTATGAACCTTCCGCGGACGACCTTGAAAGCGCACATCATTCATACCGTGGCCGCCTCATTATCTCTCAGCTCATCATTGCCCTCGAAGCAGTTCGCCCTGGAGGGACCATCGTCATGCGTCTGTCCCATATTGAGTCCTTCCCCGCCACGCCCATTCTGTATCTCCTCGACATGCTGTCGGACACCCTTGTCGTGCATAAGCCTCGTTCCATGCACGCCTACCGCGCAACTTTCTACGTGGTAGCCAAGGGTGTCGCGCCTGCCCGAGTTGCGGGGCAGCAAGCTCATTACTTGGCGGGGTTGAGGCGTCTCTGGGCCGAGCTTAGCTGTGGTGGCTCGAGCGGACGCGGGAGGCAAATGGTTAATGGAGACCTGGATTTTATCGTCACCACCAGCCAGATCCTGGACAGTTACGTGGATAGGCTGGTAGAACTTGGTCGTGAGGTGTGGCAGACACAGCTGGACGCGTTACGCACATTCTTGGAGAGAAAGGGTATTCGGTGAAGGAGTCTAGACTGCGGTTATGTTGACCCAACGAGCGCGATCATATTGTCTAATGAGGGCTCTTGCCGATACAGATGTCGCTCTGGACTCGGTTGCAATGAAACATACTGTAATACTTAGCTTGCAGTAGAACATTGGAATAAGTGTGATGTATACGACTCTATTTGGGGGGTCCACGCGGGCCATCCTGGATAAATCCTGAAGAATGCGCTCGGCAGATGCAGTCGTCAGCAGTCGTTATCCAGTACTTACCGTGATGGCGGTCAAGAAGCAGTTTCGTCCCTTCGAATAGGTCCAAAAGACAAATGATGGAAACCTAGGTACTCACCCTGACCTTCCAAGACATAGATCATCGACGACCGGCGGGGATATGTAGAACGAAATGCATTCATCTCCGCAATCGGAACCACTCGGGTATAGCCCGCCACAATCTCTCCCGCTCTCTAGCAGCCCACGCCTCCAGCGCATGCGCGCACGCTACACAGTCCGCAAACTCAGCACTCTTCAGCTGCCCCAGCTCCTCAGCGACATACAACGGGTCCGCACACCCGCGTTCGCGATCGAACAAGTAGTGCTGCGTAGCGAGCTCGACCAGCTCGCCCAAGTCAGCCCGGCACGCTGCCGGGGTGACGCACACGGCGCGGCGCGGGGAGCGGGCGACTTCCCTGCTTATCCCAGCCGCGCCGCCTCCCCCCTGTGGGGTCCCAAGTATCCCCGTAGCAACGGCGTGCTGTCCGGAAGACCGTGAGCGGCGGTGAGACGTGTGCTCTGACGAGGCGTATTCCATGTCCTGGATGAGTGCGGTGACGGCGTGTTGTGCGGCTTCCTTGCCGAGCGTGAGGCGCTGAAGGTCGGCGGGAGCGAGGGTATACGAGAGGGAGGGCTCGGGAGGTGTGGGAGGCTCGAGGGGGTCTCCGGGGGCGGGCTCGAAGATCTGGGCGAAGCTGTATCGCGAGAGCTCGTAGAACGCGGCTGGGAGGAGCTCGTCCGCGTCTATCTCGCGTGCGAGATTGATTACGGCCTGTTCGAGGGGATGATAGCACGTACGTGCATACGATGGATTTAGCGATGGAAAAATGTAAGACAGTAGGTATCACTGACGATTGGGTGTGGATATCGGCTGCCGCGTGGCTGTCCGGTTTCCGCTTCATGCAGGCGGGCGAGGTCCTCTCGCAGATCCCAACCCTTCAAGGTTGAAGGCCATGCCGTACGTATATGGGCGAGGGCCTTCTCGCGAGTGGTCTCCTCGATGAGGTATTTGCTAGACAGACGCAGGATACTAGATAGCGTCACGAAGTCGCGACGATCGTGGCTGCCAAAGTTCCTATCGTGACAGATGATGTCAGTTGATACCAATCAAGCCGACGTGGGTGAGAAGCCGACGAGCTATGCAACTAGAGCCCGTCCGTCCCGGGTTTATAGGGTGGAGACGTAGGGAGCATAGAAGCACACTGGGAAGTTGTCTGAAGGTAAACTCAGACTGCGCCCCCGGTCCCGTGAACGCTCATCGGTTGGTGCCGATTGATAACAATATGTCAAGTGGTCATGGGAAGTGGGTTCGGAACTACGACGAAGGCAGGATGGCAGCAAGCGTGCATTGGATGATAAGAAACACTCGACACGTACGGACCGTCATATATGACCTTCACGAGGTTCGCCACATCCTCCGGAAAGTCGTACATATCTAAGACTGGACAACCCTCCAAATATTGCGCGTTGGACCCGGCGGTGCACTCGGGCTGTGCTAGAGAGAACAAGTCGCGAAAGAACGCAGATTTGCGAGAGAGTTGAGATATGTGTACACGGAAGAGAACTGAATGAGCGCGGAGGATGAGGGAGCCGTCGGAGAACCAGAACTCGGGATGTTTCGTGAGTAGACCTTCTGTGAGCTGTGCCTCCAGAGATTCAGATGTCATAAGTGACCCAGCAGCGACTAGGAATACATGAAGCAGAAGTAATTGCCCAGAGATATGAGGGATTGGGTGAAAAGGCAAGGTCGCCTGAGGTGGGCGTAACGAGACAAGACTCAAGGCTTGATGTCGCAGGAGTCGGTCGAAGACATTGCAGGGATCGTGGACAGTGGAGGCGGTTTAGAAGCATGTCTCTGTTAGTATATCGGTTAGTACACGCGCCTGTCATTGTACCGACCGCGCGAAAGCGGGGTTCGACTCCCCGACAGAGAGATGTAGACGGTCTTTACCGCATGTTTTTTTTTGGTCTTTGCTTGTCCCATGGCATGTTGCGTTCATTGATCTCAGGGTACGTCCGTGTAGGCTATGTACTCTCTGTATCTGCGGTAGGCAGAAACTGTTCATCAGATGCATGTTATGGCCATGAGCGCGATGCCGCCTTCTCAAACACCGACGCCTCGCCGTCGCCATGCCGCTCCTTCGCGGCCCGGCCGGAAGCTGCATCCGGCGAATGCGACCAGGAACGCGGGATGTGGGGTAGACCGGCTTTAAATGATGCCGTTCTGCTGTTTCCCCGCAATCTTGATCCAACGGCCCGCCCTGCACCAAGCGCGTGCCCGTCCTACATACATAAATATGTAGTCGCGCACATGTCAGGTCCGTCGACGGCCCTCCTCGCCGCCTCCACCTCTCTGCTTCTCTCCCTCTGGTCTCCGACCGACGACTTGCTGACGTCTCCGTCAAGCGTTTCAACAAGATGGGCAAGTTGGGCAGGTTTCAGAACATCCGAGTCTATTGTGCGTCCATTGTTATCCCCAGCGGAGAGCCTCGGGTTCACTAGCCCTTGCAATATCACAGGGCTCGCATTAATCGCCTACTGGGGTATCGTGTTATTTGGATATGATACGTACGTCGCAGTCCTACCCGGTGTCTTGCAAGCCATGTCTCAACCGTTGTCTTCCTGCCGTACCTCCAGCGGAGTTGGTGGAGGAGTGGTCTCCCAAGACTACTTCAAGTCCCACTTTGGCATCGAACATGCCGGGGTGACCGACAAGAAAAAGTCCAACAACGTGAGCTCCAACGTCGTCTCCGTCCTCCAAGCCGGCGCATTTTTCGGTGCTTTAGGCAGTGCACCTCTGTCAGGTACGCTTCCCCATCCAGCGTCCTACTAGTCCAAGCGCCTATGCGGGCCACCAGCTCGGAGAGTTCGAAACTTGCTGTAGGCTCCAATCGCCATCAGCGTTATTCCACCAGCGGGGTGGCTATGTGCCCCACTGTGCGTCTTTGCGCTTGCAATAGGGAGACCTTTGCCTTTCACGTCTCCCTTTTGCGCCTCCTCTGCATAGTGATACTTGGCGCGTCTGCGGTGATACTGCGAGTCAGTACAGGCGATGATTCGCTGACTACCATCTATTTGTAGCCGCTATCGGCAGGAGGTGGTCACTGTTCCTCTGGACGATAGTCTTCGCGGTGGGGGCTGTACGTTTACGTCTTCCTCGCCTCCGTTCCGTGCTTGCCGCTGATGGATTACATACCACCATGACGTTTTGTGTGAACGTTTCACCTCCAGATCTTGCAAACCATCGCCGGGGGCTCACGCGGGCTCGGATACATCTATGCGGGAAGAGTCGTCGCCGGTTTGGGCATTGGCGCGATATCCGCGGTCGCGCCCGCGTACGTCTCCGAATGCTCGCCCAAGGAAGTCCGCGGCCGGATCACGGGCCTGTTCCAGATCATGGTCGCCGTCGGCGTCATGCTCTCGTACTTCATCAACTGTGCGTGTGTCCCTCCTGTGTATTTCACCCCTGGGATCTACGGAGCTGACGTGCGCCGGGAAACGGAATCCGGGGGACAGTGGGCATCAGCCTGCACATCAAGACCGGCTACGCGGTCTGGCGGATACCATTCGGCTTTCAGCTCGTCCCTGCAGGCCTTATGGCGTTCGGGCTGCTCACCGTGAGGGAGTCCCCCCGATGGCTCGCGTCCAAGGGCCGCACTGACGAGGCACTCGCCAACCTCGCGCACTTCCGCCGCCTCGACCCGGACGACGTCCGCGTGCGCGAGGAGATGGCGGAGATCGAGGCCGCGATCGAGGAGGAGCGCGAGGCGCGAAAGGGCTTGGGCGCGAAGGAGGCGTTCTTGGGCAAGGGGAACTTCATCCGGTTCGTGATCGCCGCGGTCATTTTCTTGCTGCAGCAGTGGAGCGGGCAGAACTCGGTCGGGTACTACGCGCCGCAGATCTTCAGCTCGGTGAGTCGGTGCCCAGGGGGGGCCTGCGGGAGAGAGCGCTGACCTTGGTGGCGTCGCGAATCGCGCAGATTGGCTATACGGGCACATCGAACTCGCTGCTCGCGTCCGGAATCTACGGCATCGTCAAGGTCGTCGCCACCGCGCTCTTTGTGTTCTTCCTCGTGGACTCGCTCGGCCGCAAGTTCTCGCTCTTCATCTCCTCGATGGGCATGGGCATCCTCTTCTTCATCATCGGGGCGCTCCTCAAGAGCTTCCCACCGCCCGCGGCGGGCTCGGGCGCGGACCCTCCCCCCGCGAGCAAGGCCATGGCCGCGATGCTATACATCTACGTCTGCTTCTACTCTATGGGCTGGGGACCACTTCCGTGAGTATGACCTACAGCTGTATGCAGTGCAGGATGGTTCGCTGACCCTCCGATCGTCGTCTTGGGCGAGACTAGATGGGTGTACGTTTCCGACATTTTTCCGACGAGGACGCGACACTATGGCCTCGCTGTCGCTAGTGCTTCGCAGTGGCTATTCAGTAAGTTTGGATTCCTGCCACTTTTTCACGTCCCTATTCAGTCTTGCTATCGCGCTGCGCGACGCTCCCGACTGAAAGGGCCCGGGAAATTCTCAAGGGCGCTGCCGATTATCAGCTTTCTCGACATGATACTCGGACTTGACTAACCATGACATTCCACCAGACTTCGTTGTTGCAAAGGTCACGCCTACGCTCGAGACCGATTTGGGGTACGAACTCTTCCTGATGTTCGCGACGATCAACATCGGCGGTATGGCCGTGTTCTCGCTGTGGGTGCCCCTTCGTCCCTCGGTCTTGCTAATAACACGCACACTGACCTCGCGCCACCCCTATCCTTCCGCGGACACATACGCGTGCGGGTACAGGCTCATTCCCGAGACGAAAGGGCGCAGTTTGGAGGAGATGGACATCATCTTCGGGACGGTGCAGGAGGACAAGCGGAGGGCGGACATCGAGGCGCAAGCGCGCGGTAAGTCATTGCTTCTGTTGGTCCCGCCGTCAGCGACGCGGATCCCGGGGTGGGATGTGGAGGCTGACGGGAGGGTTCGTTCGTTGATTCGCAGTCCTCGGAAACGAAGACGTCTCATCAGCACAGTCCGTCGAGCAGAAGGTGTAAGGAGCTTCGAGTCGTCTTTAGGTTCGCGTGAGGAGATGAGGACGTCATGTGGTGAGGTCGCCGAGGGTTATGTTATAACGAGTACATTAGCAAGCTCCGTAGGAGGGAAGGCAGGAGTGTCCGGGCTGCGAGTTCGCGGTGGTGGATGTAATGTGCTTAGTATGTTCGATTGATGTATTTGCACGGACCAGTGCTGGCTCCAAAGCATCAGGCCTGATAACACAGTCGTCTTGTCCCATTGAAGGCGTGCTTCTGTAAGTGTATGCCTCTGTAGTGTATGCCTCTGTCAGGGTATGCCTCTGTCAGGGTATGCCTCTGTAGTGTATGCCTCTGTAGTGTATGCCTCTGTCAGGGTACGCCTCTGTCAGTGTATTGGTTGGTACACCGGCGCATCCTCAGCCAACGACTCCCATATTTGGCGGATAAGGAAAGTGCGGATGATCGAGAGAGTGACGGCCACTGATCGTCACCGCTGCGTCATGACCACCCAGTATATGAACCAGGAGACTCACCTTCGCGTCCTCCAGCAATCCCTCTTTCGCGAACACCCCAGTCTAACATGTCGTCTTCAGTCACCGGCTCTTCCATGGCCAACAACCAAATCCGAGGCCACAAAGTAAGCAAATGCTCTACGTGGACTATGAGCGAGCGAGGGCGCTGACTGATGTTGTCTAGGCCGCTATCAACAACCCCAAAGTGTCTGAGGATGCCAAGGAGCGCTCCCGTCAGGCGATGGAGGAGCTCAGTCAAACAGATGAGGCCAAGTACATCAGCGAGGGCCTGCAGGAGCAGAAGGACCCCGTCCGCCAGAACGCTGGCTACAAGGCTACACTGAGCAGTACGTATGATCTTGATCTAGGATATCTGGGAAGCTATGGCACTTACACGCGGGTGCGGTAGACCCTCAAGTCAGCGAGGAGGCGAAGCAGCACGCTCGCGAGGTACTCGAGGAGAGCGATGCCTTGTAGAGCTCCCAGCACACCGGCCTCGTTGTAGCATATGTCCTTTATGGTCGTGTACGATACTGTATAATCGTGAATCGGATCGTTGGACGCATGATTGCATACGGTTTGACGTGGATTCGAGTCGTCACCCCTGTCCGACAGGTCGGTCACCACCCCCACGCAAATGGTCGAAATGATCGAGTCCGCAATGAACGAGGCGGAACTCCAACAGGGACAGACTCTACTGAGCACTCAACTGCAATGAGGGGGCTGGATGAGCTTTACCTTAGCATCCTCGAGGCAGCGTTGAGATATGACGGCCCTATGCCAGTCAGTCTAGTCGGTGCTTGGCTGCAAATATGGCTCTTCTCCACGAATCGAGGACACAACGGGTGCTGGATGAGCTCACGCGCGTTTCGAACCAGGAGTCGCGATTTGTATAGGCCGTCTTCGCTGTCATCTGCGACCCAAGGAAGCCGAACGTCCCGTTGTGCGCAATACACTCGACCCTGGCTTAATGTCTCCTCGGTCCAAAGCGCTGCACGAACCCGTGGTGTGTTGTTGACGCGAGCCGTCAGCACGCTCACCTTACCGAGGGCTGTCTCGAGACGCTTTAAAGTCTGAAGACTTGTCAGCGGATACCAGCGCTCATGAAGCGGACGTACCGGACCTGGGAAAACGATGATCAAGCACGTTCCGGGGCATGTGCGATGCGCGTGCATCCATTGAGCTCAGCACTTCCCTGTGGTTTGACAGCGATTCCGTATGCGATTGCGGGGACTCGGACGGACTCCTCAACCGCTTCGCGAACACCAAGGTGCCGCAATTTTCCATTGGAGACGCTGAGGTACATGGTCGGCTGGACGTCGCAGCCAAAGGGTCGATATTGCGCAAGACTGTCTTGAGATACGCGTATCTGTTCGTCGATGCAGAAGTCTGATAATTAGCTGACATCGATATCCGGATCGCAGTGGCACAACCAGGGTCTGGGGGCGCCTTTGTGTGAAATGCGGCAGCTGCCCACGGGTGATCACAGATCTTCGAGACGTGCCCATATCGCGTTCATTTAGCTCGTGTTCGAGCAGACCGCCGACTGATATAGAGCTGAGTAAGGGGCCGACGTTAGCGGTTCCTTGTCGTGCATGCGTCCGCCGCCCAACCGGGCAGAAGAACGAAGGGTGTACATGTGTCGGCGATAGAAAGAGCAAGGGATAGCTTCAGAACTCCGCTTGTACTCCGCTGACTGAGTACTGTCCAGCGCTCCGGACAACATGACAAAGTTCCACTTCCTTCCTATCATAAGTCACCTCTCTCCTTGTCTGCAATAAACCTACCTCGAGATCTTTACGCCATGCGCACGAAACAGTGCTATTCAGTACTCAGTAGCCATTGAGCCCATGTGACGAAGTGCCATTTACACCCGAAGGCTGCTTTCCACATGCCGACGCTTAGGCAATCAACGTCTTTCACCTTGAGGCAACGTCCACCAACATGTTCCACTCCCGGCCTCCTGGCTCCCAGCGTCCGATGGCGTTCCTCCTGGAGCCGACGTGACGAGATGTAGGGTACATGCACAAGGTTCAGCGAAAGGCAGTAATTATCGTATGTTCTTGCGCACAATGATCTTATAGAGTGATACCCCGCATGTACAAACTTTTCCCTTCTCTGTGCTTAGATTCTCTGTAGCCGAGATTGCGCTACAGGTTCGTGTACCACGCACATGGAAAGTCTTGTGCTTGCCCTGATATGCTATGTAAGCTCAAAGACATTACGTCCCTTCGTGTGAGTGTGTCTAGGCCGTTGCGAGCGCGTCTGAGCTGTTGATCGTCACATTGTCAGGAATATCTGGGGTGGCACACAACCGCCGCAATTGCCACTCCCGTGTGACGAATTAAGCATCCTGCATATTTGCCTCGCTGCCCTGTAAGAATCTATACTAACATGGCTCAGATTTCCATGCGTCGGCTGAGACGCGTTCGGTACCAATCCACCATCAGCCTAGTACTGTTAGCCCAGAGCCAGGGTAGTGTCCGGTGGCAAAGTGGAAGTCGTTTGTCTCCGACGGCGCCAGACCCTGCCCTCATTGACGTGAGTTTCGAGCTTCCATTCATCGCGCAATGTCTTTTGGAACGCCCTTATCAACTCTGCCCCGCTAACCGGCCTCGCTCGTCTCCCATGTTCACACTCGTGGGGGTGGACGATGTGCAATGTGTACTCGTTTCTAGCGCCTCGCGTTTCTGCAGTTCATATATCTTATTGCTACGCTGAACGATTATGCTAGTGTACCTTCGACATCAGATATCACCATGAACTGTTGCTTATGCAGTTCTGGACAGGCCAATGCGAAGGCCGACGCTGTTCTGAAAGGTGCTCGACTGATCCTGACGACTAGCCAGAACGTCACTTCCATGGTCCCGATCCCGGGCATTGGCCCCATCACTACCATTTTGATAGCTCTCATAGACAAACTTACGGTACGAAGCTCGTGTCCCGAGGTGATGCGAGTTGCCGTCTTCCAACCACTTACCATGGTTCTTTGCAGGAGATGAGGTCGAACCAACAAGGGTTCGAAGCCGTCTCGCGCGAGATCTCCCAGTTGGTCAACACCGTTGACAGGGCGGGCGAGAGAGTCATGAGCGAGTTTACGGGGATGCCAACCAGTGATCCGAGGCGTCTTGCGCTCGTCGATGGCCTACAAGGGTCTTCAAAACTGCAAGACCGAGTGAATAGGCTTTACACGTGAGTCAATCACAATCCTTGAGATATGAGCGTGGGTCGTGCTGACGGATACTTGCTGCCAGCACTCTCGCTGAACAGAAGACAAAGGCCGATAAGCTATATCAAGGAACCTGCTGGCTTCGTTGGTTCTATAGTACACGAGACGCAGCCATACTCACGGAGATCCGGCAAGGCATCGCGAATGCTAGGGAGTATTTCAAGGTGCGTAGCACAGTGGTGTCAGTAATGCCGTCTCCTGAAGACATCGGAGTCCAGCTGGAGTGTCAAGTGGCTATCGAAGCCTCGATTGAGGACGTCCTGGAGACGCTTGGGAGGATTGAGGTGACGGTCAATGCCATCAAGGTCGATGTTACGGTCAGTTAGACTTTCCTGAGGGAGAGAGCACAACTTGACGTCTTGAAAGAAAGAAAATGCCATCAACGCAGTGGATAGTGAGCGAACACATCCCACCAACCAATCTTCGTCCCCAAACTGACAAGATGCCTTCACTTAGGGGATGAGAGGATCCTGGAAGCACTCCCGCACGCGGATGCAAGCTACCGCGCGGCAGTCAACGCGATGAAGAACAGCTTCATACAGGGAACACGTGCTGAACTCTTCGACGCAATGGACGAATGGATCGAGGGGCGTAATAGGGCATCGGCAGGAAAAGCTATATGCATACTAACCGGCGGCGCGGGCACTGGCAAGTCCACAATCGCTTCGGAGTTCGCACGACGACGCGACGACGCAGGCGACTACGGAGCGTCGTTCTTCTTTGTCCGCGGCGTAGCGGACCTGGACTCCACGAGGCTCGTCTTCCCGACAATTGCATACCAGCTCGCTCACTCGCAAGCTGCTGTTCGACCTCACATCGTCACCGCTGCTCGTGAGCACCTAAAGAGGGGCAAAAACCAGCAGATGAAGTACGAGGCTCCGAATCTTCTACATCGACCTGTTCACGACCTGGACCCTCGGCATCCCCGTATGTTCCTTGTCGTTGACGCCGTAGACGAGTGCTCAGAGGAGGCGCGGACTCTTGTACCTGAAATGCTCGACCTGCTTCTCGCCAGTGTACGCGAGGCCCGGTTTCCTCTTCGGATTTTCCTCACAACTCGCCCAAACTCCTTGGTTGAAGACAAGCTTCGCAATTCGCAGTGGTCTCAACTCGTTCACAAGATTTCCCTTCACGATCTCTCTCCGGAGTCCGTTGAACGCGACATCGCGATCTTTGTCCGCGACAAGATCTCGAAGCTACCTGCAGGAGAAGCGCTCTTGCGAGATCAGCCTGAAGTGGCTCATCGCTTGGCTCACCGTGCTGGTGGCCTATTCATCTACGCGAAGACCGCTATGGATTTCCTCCATGATTACCCCGATTTCGTCGAAGACCGTTTGGACGACCTTCTCTCCGATGGCTCTTCGCAGTTTTCCGCGGCGCTCCAGCCTCTCGACGACTTATATCTCACTGTCCTAGAGATCGCGTTTCCATCCAAGGACCTGTCGCAGTCACCGCGCCTCCGTCGGCCTGTCGAGGCAACACTTGGTAGCCTGGCGGTCCTCCGCAACCCCCTGTCTCCCAGAGTTCTCGAGTCGTTGATCGGGGTTGCACGCAAGGACATCTGTTCAGTCCTGAATCGTCTCCGATCTGTCGTCCTCTATGACAATGAGAAGCCGGACGAACAGTTCCGCCCGATGCATGCAACATTTCCCCAGTTCTTGGTCGACCCGAATCGTTGCATGAGCCCATCCTACCGTGTTGACACGAAGCGCCAGCATGCTCGTCTGGCGAAGGGTTGCTTCCAAGCTCTCCTGACGCTGGAGCAGAATGTTTGTCAGCTCCCTGATCCAGCAGTGAATAAGGCTGCGATCCCAGACTTGACGAGACGTCTCGAGAGGCACGTCCCCGAGCATGTGCGCTACGCTTGCGTTCACTGGACGATGCATCTCGGAGAAGCGTGCGAGCTCGCTACAAGGCACGTCGGCAACGAATGCTATTGCAAAGACATGCTCGAGGCGTTGACATTGTTCGTGCGGACGAAGCTCAGGAACTGGATAGAGACGATGGGCTACATGGGGCGGCTGGATATGGTGGTGAAGGGGCTGGATATCGCTCGCGACTACCTGACGGTGTGTATTACCTCGTCCTCTGCTGATGTTATGGTCTAACGTGAGTTCCGTTGTAGTTTTCCCCTCAGTTTGAGGACCTAGACACACTCCTTGCGGATAGCCGTCAGCTCGTCGCAGACCACTACTGGGAGATAGAGGAATGCCCTCACGAAGTCCATCAGGCATCCAGCATGCCGGGTGGTTTCTTGCCTACGCTGAATCTCGGTAGGAGCTCCCGTAGACTGACCAAGAACGAGAAGCGGATCGAGCTCAAGCTCGACTACTGATCGGCGACTTCGTTGTGCCATGGCTCCAGTGGTCTTGGCGATGGCCTGTCGCGTAGTTGCTGCAGCATTGGGCTATGTTGTTACAAGATTGGAAGATATTTCTCTACACTACCAGCTTATGATGCGCATATCCTATCTGCAGCTTGCAATATGTAGCAGGGAGACAGTGCGTGCATCGAAATTCTGTGAAGCGTACAATTGGGTGTAGCCGTATCGGAGATTGGACACTTGATAGTAGTTTTGGACTCCGCAAGAGCGGAGGCGGTCATGCAGAGTCTTGTCGCTGAGCAGGCATGGGAACGAAAGCATATCACCTTCTGGTCTGTCCTGCTCGACGCAATGCATCTACCATGACATTTGTCCCGACGCAGCCTGGCTGTATCCGCATGCCTGATACATAGATACGCCCGTATGTCATCACAAATCGCTTCACCAGCCTCGCTACTGCATCATTGTTGACATCGTTGAGTATCTTTCCGTGAAAATTTCTTCAAATTGAATCTCTGCACTGATACTTACCCCGTCAGACGGGTCGGAGCAAGCATGCACTTGACGCCTTGATCCGTTTATGAAATATGCAACCAGTGGCTACCGAAGGTGCGTTTACATTCATCCCGAGCTGTCGGGCAGTAGGTCAGCGGATTCGGAGTGATGTAAAATGGCTCGCATAGCCCAAGCGAGCACGAGAAAATGAACATGCTTCTACAGCCGCGCAAGTACGTTTCCAGGTCGATCATGCGCCCTCAAGTCGGATCCGCCGTGGTATGTCTTGTCAATCCATTGAAGCTACTTATGTTCATTCTGTGTTCGCTACTCCGGCATGCAACGTAGGGTCAGCCTGCACACGACGCTTGTACGGCATAGTGTAGCCGTAGTAAGCTGGCCAGTACTATGACACCGAGAACGCTACTCGCCGGTGACACCGAGTGGGTTAGTTGGTACGGTGTTTGCGCCGAGTCCAAATGCGATAGCTTTTCCGTGGAACCAGGCTGCGGATTGAACATGAAAAACACGTTCTCTGCGGGGGTTGGTCGCCTATAGGGTTCAGCTACGCATCGCAAAAAGCCTCGGGGATCCCGCGTTCCACACTAGATATATATCATCACAGCACATGACGGAAACTCATACTTTGACACTAGGCAAGCCTGAATCAACTATAGATCATGAGGTATCTGGCTTCCCCGCATCTAGATCAGGATATCTAAAAATGAGCTCGCAGCCAGCGTTAGTAGTCGGCTGGCATGGGACAAGCTCAGCGATAAACCGGACATTTCACGCCCAGCACAACCCATGATAGTATAGTATGTCGCTGTCGTTAAAGCGCTGCCGGCGAAGCCTCTCTGGGACGCTAACCATCCTCGGACCCCCACCAACATAGAACATACGCCCCTTCCATAGACGACAACAACCATCATGAAACTGTTGCCTCCAGAGCGGAGATCGACTATCGATGACATCCTGAACTGGTCAAAAACTGGTCTCGAATGGGGAAAGCACATCACTTCCGTTTTCCCCATCCCTGGGTATGAGCCAGTGGCCGATGCCCTGATAGCACTGATCGATAAAGTAGCGGTGTGTTGTCTCCGCATCTTTTTGCTTTGGTTCTGAACACGTCCTTTGGGCAATCGCAGGCTGCGAGGACCAATGAAGAAGATGTCGAATCGCTGCTGATTGAACTCAAACAACTTGCAGAGGTAGTCGGCAAGTCCAAGCACGACATCGACGATCATATCGAGTCAACGCTCGAAAAGGACCAAGTTCAAGGGGAGAACGCACTCCAATCTCCGCGAGAGGTCGAAGACCATTTCAAGAAGTTCGAACTGTACGTCGTAAGATTATGCTCGTTCTCCGCTCAATTGACATCCACATCTGTCAGTGATTTGAGGGGCCTCAGCGACCAATCCAAGGCTCTCAAGCACAGCAACTTTCTGCCGGCCTGGTTGTTCAGTAGTCGTGACGCTCGGACCATATCGAAGATTAAGAGCGATGTCGCGAAGGCCAGAGAATATTTCGAGGTGAGTGCAGCGGCTGGGTGCGTAGGTCGTATGAGTATGTGCTGAGATCCCGCAGACGAGTTGCTTGGTTGCTATTCAGACGTGGCTGGAGAACATAGATAAGAAGCTGCAGCATATCACAGTTGCTGTGACGGATATAGGAGATGTAGTCAAGGCGAGTTCCATGACTAGCCCTTGCTATATCTTACACTGACGTGGTCATAGAGGGCGGAAGTTGAACGCAGGGAGGACGGTCAGTAAATTCGTGACCACTGTTGTCAGCATGTCGGCTCACGAACGGTACATCTGTACAACAGCGGACGACCGGATTCTCGACGCCTTACCTCGCGCAGACGCAGGCTATAACTCTTCCTTCAACCAACTCAAAGGACGTTTCCTGGAGGGGACGCGCGCCAAGCTTTTTGAGAAGCTGGAGGCATGGATCGAGGTCGATTCGTCGCACAAGCCAATATGCGTTCTCACCGGGGGCGCCGGGACCGGCAAGTCTACTGTCGCATTCGAGCTGGCGAAGCGCCTCGACGAACGGTACCATCGACTGGGCGCCTCGTTCTTTTTCATACGCGGTATCGCCGACTTGGACTCCACTCGACTCTTCTTCCCTACCCTCGCATACCAGCTGGCGCACTCTCAGGACGTCTTGCGAAAGCACATCGTAGACTCAGCTCGTGAGCACCTGAAGAAAGGGAGGACCCAGGCGATGGAACGCGAAGCGCCTGCTCTACTCCATAATCCCCTGAGCCTCGTGGGCAAGCAGGACCCTCCTATCTTTTTGGTCGTCGATGCAGTTGATGAATGCACTGAGGACCCAGTCAAGCTCGTACAGGAGATGCTCGATTTCCTCATGGCCACGACACAACACGGGCCCATTCGAATCTTCCTCACTGTCCGTCCAGTGCGGCCCATTGAGGCCAAACTTTCCTCTGCGAAGTGGACGACGGATGTTCACACCATCTCCCTCGAAACCTCCTCGAACGACGCCACCGCGGACATCTTGGCATTCATCAAGGACAGCTTCTCTCGGATTCCGCAAGGTCCGGAATTACTCAAGAAGCGCGGAGACATTGCGTACCGGCTCGCTCAGCAAGCTCAAGGCCTGTTCATCTACGCCCGTACAGCGATCGATTTCCTCGAAACCTATCCTGGGCCTCTCGAAGAGGGCGTAGGTTTCCTGCTTTCAGATGTCGCCGAAGAAGCGGTCGCTCTGGGACCACTTGATCAGCTCTACCTCGTGGTCCTGGAGAATGCGTTTCCTCCTGCTCATATGCAGCAGCTCGTGCTGCGCGCACGCGTCCAGGTCGTGCTTGGATGCGTCGCCGTGCTCCGGAATCCTGTATCACCACGCATCCTGGAGAAGCTCACACTGCCGACCCGCAGGACGATCACATGCCAGGACACGGTGTCTGTCCTGGATCGACTCCGATCTGTGGTGATCTTCGAGAATGGCTCCGTCGACGAGGCCTTCCGCCCGATGCATGCAACATTTTCTCAATTTCTCGTTGATCCGACGCGTTGCACGAACGCATTGTATCTGGTCGATACGCAGCGTCAGCACGCGCACATGGCAGATGCATGTCTCAAGGCAGTGCTATCGCTCGAGCAGAACATGTGTCGATTGGAGGAGTCGGAGTTGGAGGGTTCCATTCAAGACATTGCTGACATCGAGAGCCGTCTGATCCACGTTCCTCAGCATGTGCAGTACGCCTGCGTTTACTGGGTGGCGCATCTTCGCGAGGCGTGCAGACCCTTGACGCATGCTGGCCACGGGTGCTTCTGCGGCGACCTCGTGGTGCTACTTGAGAACTTCGTCGCGAACAAGATGCTGCAATGGATGGAGACTCTGGGACTGATGGGTAGGGTCGATGGTGCGATGGATGCCCTTGGCGCGGCGAGAGATTGGTTGCCTAGGGAGGTATGCATATTTGCTTCCAGTCGTGACCGTGTCAGGCGCTAACACGTACTTTGCCAGCCTCAGTACACCCACATACGCGAACGTATTAATCACGGACGACAGATACTCTTCAACCACACCGATGGTATACGCAATTGCCCCCATTCAGTGTACAAGGTCTCAACGCAGGAGGATGGGGACTTCACACTCAACGCCATTCTCCGTCATCGTCCTGCGATTGTAAGCGACTACGGGGCCTGATTCAGGGATATGTTCCCGCACAATTCCCCAACTATTCAAATGATTTCGCGAACGGATACAACATATATAAGTATGTCGTTACGGCTCTGTTGATGTACGTATGTGATCCTGTACCCTCGGCACATTGCATAGGTCCACATTCTTCGAGGCTAAGGGACGACTTGAGACGCGCTGTCAAATAGTGCGAGTACTAAGCATCAATTTAGCGCACAGGCTGAATGACTGACGTACCGTGAATTACTGTATGCCCTTCTTGCGGAACAGTCTGTCAAGACCCTGGACTTGGGTGGACCAAACTCCTCGGCCTAGCTCGATCAAACGATCTAGATACTCCGTCAGAATAGTCTCGGCTGTGGCGACAAAGTCGAGGTCTCCGGGCAAGATCATGCGCCCACGCCCTCCACGTCCACCGCTGCGAAGCTGAACCAAAAGCTCTCGCAATCCAGAGAGGTATTGCTGTCTGGCCTTTGCGTGCTGCATTCCACAAGCACCTTTGGCAATCACAAAGCATGTACCCCGGCTGGCATGCATGGTACGTGGCTTGTGGACGGTGAGCTTGTCCGAAAGATGATCGAGGAGGTAGAGGAGTATAGCCGACGGCCAGCATTCGACATGGGACAGTCTCATGACTATTGTGCCCCCGGGACAGACAGTTTCGAGCCCGATTATAAGTTGCGTGATCAGCAAACTGTCACGATATGCGCCATATACGGTCTTCCTGTCTTCTGGCGCAGGCTCCACGGGATGGTGGTAGGTGCGTGACGCGCTTTCGCCTAAGAGCACCAGGGAGAAGCGACGGAGGAAACGGCCTGGGAGTCTTTGTGAAGATACAGTGGTCGAATCCGAACGGAATGGTGAGATATCGTATGCAAGTATATCCTTCTCGATGAACTCATAGCGCGGAAGGAAGGATTCCTCGAGCAGGAAGATATGGCCGCCTTGAACAGCTGGGAGAGATATACCTGTCCCACGAGCGTGTCTGTTCTTGCGAAGAACGTATGAGCTCAAGCCCCCAGAAGAGCAGCTGTGGAACGCAAAGGGGAGAAGGGTCAGACTTCAACATAGCATAGCGTGCATGAGAGGCTTCCTTACCCTACGTCGAGGAACTCGATGGGCTTGAGAGGGGAAATACAACCGGATGCGAGGTCGATTTCCTGCATCACCTTCTTCATCATGTGAAACCATGTAGAGGCGACTTTTTTATCCGGGTTGTCCGCAACTGTCCGCTGCCACTTGAAGTGGTCGTCCAGAGTTTCTTCGTTCCATCCCTTGGAGTATTTTCATCAGTGGCTTCACACACGACTGTGACAAAGGCTCCGCGCACCTTACTCCTCATTGCGAGTAGCTCTTGGAGCTCTGGAACGTATCGTCTGGCAAGTATGGCCGAGGGCCCCAGGATCAGTCCCTCCTCGGTGAGATTCTCAGCGATATGAGCTAGGGCGGGGTAGCTGTGTTGTGCCATGTCCTCGTGTATGTAGTGGGAAGAGTGGTGGTTGACGGTGCAAGTCGGGTCCCTCGGTGGATAGTATGAGTTGTACTTATACAACTCGTCAGCACCATGAAACTAATATTACGGCGAGGATTCGCTATATAGAGCTTCCATATGTGAAATGTGGTCTGCGGTGCCGCAGCTGCAGAAACAGTCAGATTTGAGGACACGCATGCTCACCTGACAGCGTAGTGCTACCGCAGCTAGACATTTGCTATCTCTTTAGCTACCGCAGCCCTCTTGGGTTCAACGATGGTTATAGGTGCTATCTGGCTACAGGCGACGGTGTGGCCGGAGTAAGCTGGACGGCGGTCTGATGAATGTTGCTCTCAGTGGAGCTGTGGATACTCCACGAGCTGGCCTTGATATCATGGTTTCGGACGTGTGATACGTTATGTACATTCACACAGTCCATTCAGTAGGTCGAACCCACTATCCGTCTCGTGCGTCTGGCCGGCAGCCGACTCCTGCGCGGCAGTGAACCTTTCCACATCGCGGAGGCACTGGACGCCAACAAAGGCTGCGGCGAGGATGCGGAAGACGAGGTTTATCGCGTCGCCGACGGCGCCTACTCGCTCGTTCACCCGCTCGATGTCGATGAACTTTGAAAGAGCCGAGCCTGGACTGCCGGATCGTCTGCGCGCTTGAGTAGGGATGCAAGTCGAGACTGGGGCGCATGCTCCCCTGTAGCAACTCTACATTGCTTCGAGAGTGTGCGTGCTAGCTGACTCGGCCATAGCATCTGTTTCACTCCGCTGAGATGTCGAGAGGGTTCTCACATTCCGGCCTGTCTGTTCGGGGGTGGCGGTGTGGAAAACTTCCGACAGCCCTTCGCCGGAGAGCAATGGCTTTGTTAAGACATTGAAGGAGCAGTAGCCGCAGACCCGAAGCCAAGGAAAGGAAAACAGGACCAGGTATGGTTTCCAAACTGGAATGAGCACCCGAGGATGAATAACCGTTCTAAGAGATTCACAGCGAACGGAGTGTACGAAGTTGAAACGGACCGCGTTCGCGCTGTGCGCTTGTAGGTATTTGGTCTTGTTATCCAAATGGCTGCCACTGAAGGACTCGGAGGCGTGCCATGTCCTGGTCGACTCGCCTACTAGTCGGATGGTCTCCCAGAAGCAATCCCGTGTGAGTTATGATCAATGCATGCGCTGCATAGAAGATCCCTAATCTCCACATCTTGTGCAGGCCGTAGGTACAAGGAAGAATGGAGAAGGCGCCCATCGAGCGCGACTCGCGATCGGAGGCCGCGAAGCAAGTTGTCGTACGTTGGAACGCTTCTGCATGCAATCTTATACACTGTCTGACTGTAAATGGGGATACCCATTGTTCAATACGATTGAATATGTCTCATTTTCAGCACCTCAACAGCATCGCGGATTTCGTATTTGCACGCTGATGTTGCGAGGTCACGTTAGGGCCACTGTCAGTGCAAGCTGGCAATGCGTATAAAAACCTGGTGAATGTACATATGTGTCGTTACGGTATGAGATCCATAGGACCCGTCTAAGCACGATCTGCCCTTCTAGAACAGTCCAATCTTAAGATTCTTTCCTTTACGGTTGACCTGAGCAAGAGGTCGCTTGAGTTCTTCGTCGTCCGAGTTGTACCCATCTTGACGGATTCCACACAGATATACGTCGTCCGGACATGCTTCGATCTCATGGAGATGGTCCGAAAGCAGTCGAAGACCCTGTTCAAGTGCACTGCGAGTTTTCGAGTGTCGTGTCTAACGAATGCTGAGCGTCAGCAAGACGTCGAAAGAATGACTCGAGTTGTACGCACCCCGAGGTAGTCACAGCCTGCGGTGAGGCCGCTCACGGCAAGGTCCAGCCTTCCCAAGTAGCCCAGCGTCTCCAACCACACCAGCATCTTCGTTGTCGCCCAGGTCTTCAGCAGATCGACGAGCTCTCCGCATCGGCATCCCTTGACGCTATGAGCGTCTCCGACCTTACACGCCCCCCGCAGGTGTACAGCCCAGTGGAGACATGCGTACTGCGCATGTGGAGGAACGTGCGTGCGAACTCGCTCCGCGAGGTCCACGACGTCTGCCTTGCGCATCGAGGGTTCTTGTAGTCTGCATATGTTCCTGTCGAGGGTCAGAAGAACCCTGAGACACCCTTCCGCTAGCTGCGCATTCTGGCGTTTCGCGTCGACCAAGTACAGGCGATTTGGGCAGCGCGCACTGCTCAAGAGGAACTGGACGAAGGTTGCATGCCCGGGCCGGAAGGGCTCGTCGAGATCGTTTCGGTTCACGAGTATGGTGCAGCGCAGTTGATGGAGGATGGGAAGCGAATCTTTACATGGGATATGTATGAGTGATTCCAGCGTCCGTGGGGAGATAGGATCTCGAAGCACGGGGATGCATCCTAAGATGGATTGAACAGAGGCGCGGAAAGTCGGCTGTTGTTCCATACGAGCCGGGGGAATGACGTGCTCGAGAATCGTGAGGTACAGCGCGTCTAGCGTTCCTAGCCCGGAAGGAGTGGCGGAGAGTATCAAGTCTAGCCGTTGTTCAAGCTCGTCCTGTTTGTCATGAAGAAAATCCATGGCTGCTCGTGCGTAGACAAATAGGCCGTCGGCACGGAGAGCTAGACGGTCGGCAAGGTCTGGTTGCTCAGCCAGGTCTTTGCTGGATGACATGCGCGAGAGTCTATCACGAATGAATATCGCGAGATCACGATTGATTGAATCGCGTGAGAGATTGTGAAGAGACAGTCGACGCAAGGTCACCGCGCTCGCATGTGAGGAAAGGCTCGTATCAACGATACGTTCGGGGACGGAAGTGAGCAAGATACGGAGGGGGAAAGTGACTTCACAGACACATGTCAAGAGAAGGCGCAGGACCGTGGATAGATCTGAGGAATCGTCTGCGCATTCGTCCACAGCGTCGATGACTATCACCACAGGGGCATCTTGGCCTTGGGCTGCTAGGAGGGGACGCCGCAATAGGTGTTCGCCCTGATGTTCGATGTCTTGGGCGCGGCCAAGCTTTAGATAGTCCTGGACTGCGGCTACAATATGAGGGCGAAGTGCGTTCTGAGTGTGTGAGAGTTGGTATGCGAGGGTCGGGAAGAATAATTTTGTGGACGCGAGGTTGTCCACACCACGGACGAAAAAGAAAGACGCTCCCAGGTGACCGTTGTCACGCAGAAGTCGAGCGAAATTAGAGGCGATGCTAGACTTGCCGGTACCGAGAGCACCATTGAGAATGCAGATCGACCTGGACGATGGAGAGTCGTACGCCCAGGTATGAAGATCCTCTAACAGCTCTAGTCGCGTTCCCGAGAGGACGTAGTTCCGAAGCGTATGGATGGGCGCCCGGTAGTCGGCATCTGCGTGAGGAAGTGCTTCAAGAATCGTGTCGTCCACTGTGTTCACCAGTCAGTGGGTGTCAGCGTGCAGCGTACAAACAAGGTAAACTGACCATCCATCCCAGAATCATTCTCCTGACATCACCAAGTCAGTATATACACCCGAGCCGAGGGTAGCTATGAACTCACCGAATCACTGTTCATAGAGTTTACGTCATCCCCAGTCGTCGCTTGTCCGGTCTCTTCCATCGTCTCCTCTATCTCTCCCTCAGGAGCTTTCCCAGAAAGAGCGGCACTCTCTGTCTTCTCGTCAGGAGAAAGGTCAACTCTTAAAAAGTCATTCATTGATGTTTCTATGGTTGGCTTGCACTCCGACTACAGACGCCAGGTTCAGCCCTTGCACGCTGAGCTTACGTCTCAATGAGTACTCACGTTGTAGTATTTAACTGCCGCCTTGATACCATCGTGGATAAGGACCAACGTTCTGGAGTCACGCTGCCCGTGCAAGTACTTGAGAATGAATGTTCCCCGGTGGATGTCGTCCGCGCGAGCAGTCAGCTCCGCGAGATCACTGAACGCGGATTTAGGCTCTCTCTGGCCCATCATACCAGATATCACGTACGTGCGAAGCTTCTTGAAACGTTCTATTAAGGCGGGAGACCCCAGCTCATCTTCAAAGGCACGTCTCTTCGGATCATCGGTAGGACAGTGTTGGCAGCATTGCTGTACCCTGCCGGTCGTCCCGTCGATAAGCCTAACCAGGTGAGAGACCTCACTCGATAGGCCTTCGAGGATGAGGGCATTCGAAGCTGGCGCCGAAGGACCTGGCCTGAATGACGTTGAAGAATGCTATGATGAGGCAGTGAGACAAAGACCATCTCGCAGGAACGCCATAGCATGAGATCACATACCAGTAGCCGGTCTATCAGAGTAACTAAAGCGTTGGTGACTTGGCTGAGACCGCCGATGGGTGAGGTAGCGAAGGCAGCTTTCCTGCTCTCGAGCGTAGCCTTGGCATCCCTCAACGCATCGTCGACATCGCTTGGAGCGCAGAATCTGAAGCAGTTCATGAGTGTTGGGCACGCTTGTGTGTTGAAAGTCTCTCTCGCGTTAAGACTGCCTAGAAATAAGCCACAGGAAAGGAGTGTTTGGACGCCGAGCCGTTCGCTAGGTTCGCACAGGGAACTGGAAGCCACGTAGTGACAACGAGGCTGACTGTGATATGAACGGATCAGTCATCGCCCTTCGATACATGGGCACGAAGTGCAATTGCCCACGTCCTGCACTGTATGGGCTGTGAAGCACGTCCGTCCCCGCGCAGGTGGCATCAACCGACGAGAAACCAGAAATGATAAGCCGTGACCACTTGACGGCGCCCTGGTGCCACAGCTTCTAAATCATGCCAGGGTACTATGAATGGATGGGTTAGTATGATACATGTCTCATCTGGAAAAGCCTCGTCATTCGCGGAATAGCTAAGGCATACTGTTCGCCATGAAGAGTGTCTGCGGGCCAATCACTCCCGTTGGGCGAAGTTACCGACCTTGCTGATCTTTTCCCGCCGAGAGTCGAATCTTGCATAGAGGTTGACTCGCAACGGAGATGACTGTGATCTAGAGTAGATCAGACACGACACTCGTCTGGAACGTAAGATTTTAGAGTTCAGCACGTACAGACAACGTTGCAGCATCCTGCAAGCGAGCGATGCAGCTTGAAAGCTCGGCGATGCGAGCAATCGAGGAGTCAACGGTTAAAGTTCGATCAAAGTGGACCACTTCAAATCCAGAGAGACACTCTCGAGCATCTCGACGGGCAGTTGGGGGACTAAGAACTGATGTCTGCGGTGGACATAAGAGGTGGTGGAACACGACTGCTTGATCTCGAAGACTTTGAGTACGTAGTATCCGCAATAGGCCCACGACAAATGAGCCCAGCGGAGGAGGGAACTGTACTGATTCGCATCGTGATTGATAAGAGCGTAGCGAGAAGTCACACCTCAGCTGAGCTCACAATGCCCTCATGATGCTCGTTTTCCACATAGGTGAGCATAGAGACCTTGTCATCTGACCATGACGTGAGCACGAATCACCCTCGCGCTTGGGCCCGCTCGCCCCGATGAATAAACTCCCAGCAAGCCTTACCAGGCTCGACGCCCAATAACTCCTGCATATCCTTCATCTCCAAGTCGCACAGCTCGCGCACGCTTCTCACCCTGCTCACTACATGCTTCACGTTCTTCGCCGTGATACCCGGCAAGCTTCGCAGGAGCTCCTCCGCCGCGGCGTTAAACCCCGCTCCCGCTTGCGGGTCCTCCTCAGCCCCGACGAGGACGGCCTTCGCCGGGTCTGGCTGCGCAGCGTGTGTCTTGAGATCGTTGAAGATCTCAGCCGTAGCATAGGGCGAAGACGACCAGATGATACGGACGCGCGGGAAGGTGAGCGTGAGGAGAACAAGCTTGGACTGGATCGACTGCGAGGCAATCGTGGCGGTGTCCGCGCGCGAGTCTTGCTTCTTCTTCACGGCGTACTTGGACGTCTTGGCGTATGACTTCGCGTCGGCTACCGCCTGGAGGACACAACGTTGATCAAGGACGGACAATACGGGGTGAGAACAAAAGAGGCTGTACCTCGAGCGAGAATGACTTGTGCTCCTCAAACTCGATTAGGAGGATAGGCTGCTTGTAATGAGCGGACATTAACTCGCATTGCGTATATCTAGCGCGGGAAACGTGAGTCGCACGGCTTACGTCCCTAAATGAAGCACCGCTTACAATCGGCCGCTGTTGAAACTAGACACGAGGTCCGGTATGCTCTTCCGCTCGACGCAGATGTCTGGCGTCAGGATATAGTCACCGACGGTCAAAGTGACAGGGAGGACGAGTAGCCCGGAAGCGTGCAGCAGCGAGGGCAGTGACGACCGGAACTCCCGCATATCCACAATGACCTGAACACGTTTGTGAGTATGATGGACTACCGCAGCTTCATCAAACTGCTCACCCGTGCTGGTTCAATGCTGGCTTCTTTCCGCCCGCCTGCTATCCGCGTGCTGATCGTCTTGATCAGCGCCTCGCCTGCGGCTGTCGTGCGGTCTTCATGGATGGGCATGAGCATCGACTATGAACCTTCTCCTCAGCACGACGCAGAAGTGGGGGTGCAATGCTGCGGTAAAGGCGTACCCCGCGTTCCTTGATGAGCCTCTCGAACGATTCCTTTTCGCGTCGCAGTCCAGTGAGGTATTTCCCCTCCTCACAACTCAACTTATACATCATGAAATACACGCGGACGCCCAGCCCCGCATTCGAGTTCCTATAAACCTGCGTCCACAGAGACCGCGTCATACTCGAGCACGGCGCGCCAGTGCGCGAAACGCACCTCTATTCGTCTGATGAACTCAAGATTGGGCTCGTACATCACGATGAAGCGCGGCTTGATCTCCTGCAGGACTTGGTCGTCGGAGTCATCTGAGTACGGCCGTACGAGTACGGTCTGTGCAGGTGCAAGGAGGCCATAGTGGGTGTCAAAATCATCATCCATGGTGAAGAGCTGGAAGTCTTGCGTCAACGCTGTCTCGGCTAGGTCCACGCTCTGCGCGGAGAGGCTATGATCCAACGTTGTGAGATACCATGTCGTCATCGGACTTACGCGACGAGGGCAGACACGACGAGCGACCACTCACAAAGCAGCGATATCATCTGCCTCACTCTTGATCTCCACATCGCCTAAACCTCCCCCGCTTGCTGTCATCTTGTCCCTCGTAGCGGCTGCAACAGGCGCACCGCCTCTTACTCTCCTCCGATTCGCCTGCCTCTCCTGCCGCTCGCGGTCTTTTCTCTTCAATGCCTCGCTCACTTCGCTGTCTCCGCTCTCTGTACTCTTGGGCAGCGCGATCGGTCTCTTGCCCTCCGCCTTGCGCTCGGACAGTTTACCCTTCCACCACAGGTAGAGCTTTAGCTTGTCTTCCATCATCCGTCGACCTTGACTTCCTTTTGAGACATCCGCATCGAGCAGATGAAGAAAGTCCTTGATGAGTGTGCACGTATGGAGCGAAGACGCCATGACGAGAACCGTGTTCGTCCCAGGGGAGTCTACAGTGTGCCCACTCATCCGTGAGACAAAGGACCCAACACCGCCAACGCGCGAGGCGAAGAGCACGACGTACGTGACGACAGCATTGGCTCACGCCGCATCATCTCCTCCTCGATCTCTTGCAGCACGTCCGCGAGGAGCGACCACTTCGGAAGCTCTTCAAGCACGGGCTCCATCCCGTCTGGCAGCCATGGTTTTCGCGTCTCGCGTTGCCGCTCCTTGCCTTTCCCGCTCGAGCCGCTGGGGCGTCCCGCTACCTCCGCCTCCATCTCGTCCAGGATCGCCCACTCATCTTCAAGGTCGTCGACTAGGTTGATGACGGAAGGCTGGGCGGATTGGAGCGCGGGCTTCGAGGGCGCGGACGTAACATAGCAGCGTCTTTTCGCATACTGGAAGATGACGTTCGCGGCGTCGGTGAGCATCCAGGGGGACTGGTGGTGCCTCGCAGCGCCCGAGTCTGTTGTTGTATTCGCCGCGATGAGCGTTTCGAGGTACGCGTGGAATGCGAGCGCGTCATAGGCCAAGAGGTACGTCAGGAGGCGGCGGAGCGTCGCCAGGTCACTGACGAGCTGCTTGGTGCGCGGGCCGACCTTGTGCCATACAGGGTCCAAGATGCGGCGGACGACGATGTCAAACGAGCGGAAGTACGCGTTGTCGATGGTGAGGTCGTCGAGGTCAAGTGCCGTGTTGGCACGCTTGAGCTCGGCGAGCGTGGTCGACATACACTGAACGATCGCATGGTGGATCTCGGACATCGGCTCCGTCATTTCTTGGTGGAGCTCGACGATGTCAGGGGCCTTGCGATCGAGTGATTCTTTGATGTCGGCGTGGAAACTGCGAGCTGTGAACACGACATGAGAGGTGACTGGATTTGAGAGGCATACCGGGGATAGATATGGACGGTGCGTAGCTGGAGCTCTTTCATGATGGTACGCAGAGGCGACATGCCGCTTGTGATATGCTCAGGCTGGTCCGAAAAAGCCTTGAGGAAGCCCTTCTTGTTCTTCTCGCGGTAGAGCCGAACGATGAAAGCCTCCGCAGAGGTCGGGGTCACTCTTCCAGATATTCAGACGACAGTACACAGCAAAAGGCGAGATAAGCGTACCTTTCAGCATGAAGGATGAGGATCCCGGTGATGAGATGTGTCGGGATGTCGGACGTGAGCATGTCCACTGTGAAAATCTGGGAGGTGATAGACACTAGACCACCCTTCTTGTACAAATCCTGCCTAGCCACCTCGAATGAGAACGCTCGGTTTTCCGGTATCCTGCCTTGCCCAGGTGCACGCGCTACACTCCTCACCTGTCCTTTCTTCCTGTCTCGAAACCGACGATTCGCAAGCCCGGATTTCTGCAACCCATTATGCCTAGTTCCTCTCCGATGGCAGCCTCCTCTTCCGGTGTTGCGTTGACGAGTAGGACAAGGTTGTGCGGAGAGTCATAGATCTGAAGGAGCTTGCAGACGATTCGTCGAAGACCAAGTCCCCGGGCCAGGAGGACGAGTTCAGAAGTTGCTGGGTCGTGTACCTTGTCGAGGATGGCAGTATGAAATGGCAAGAGTACAGACATGATGAATGTGTGCTATGTCATTGCAGCACGGAGCGATCCGAGTGAACACCGTTGTGGTCGATGCTAATGTTCCTTGGAGTCTTTCACTGAGCCGTCCGTCCGCCGTTCTAGGCGCCTATTAGGTAACTGGTCTAAGCAGCTAGCGCTCGTTGCCCGGCGACTCCCAGCTTCAACTTCAAATTCCAGGATCTCACGGTCACAAGTTATGATCGCAATTGCAACCTGCCCAACCTCCCCTATAAAGCTACACCGTACGTCAAGATTCATAGCTTGGATTTCTCTACTTATCACTGACCACCAGCCTCTGTGCTTTCCTAAGTTCGACTCCACCCTCAGGACGGTAACCATCAAGGTTCCGGAACTCATGGACCATGACAGACTACAGCGACAACTCCTGCTCGTCTCTAAATTTTCTGAACCAGGTCTCGTCTTCTTGCTCGCCTTCGAACGCTGTTCAGTACACAATTACCAGGGGTGTTGAGTTGAGCCTCTGAGTCATGAACTTGACATGTCAGTGGAGTTCATCCGCTCCTCAAGGAGCATGCTACATACGTTTGAGGAGACTTCCAAGTGTTCGCATTTGGAGCTGGTGCTGGAAGACTTGCCAGACGTACCATACGAGGATTCTCCGATGTGGCTCGGGAAACTGTGCGAACCCGTGTACTTGCGAACGTCAGAACGTTCGGAGATATCGCACCTCCAATGCTCCCAGAATCGTTGCGATGCTCTGATTAGGGGGGACGATCCTGCTCCTTTATACCCAATCGCATCAAATATGTGTTTCAGTCTCCATGTGAGTGTTGGCCATCATTCTTGAGCGTGTCTGGGGGGAGACTAACCAATCCGTTGATAGTTCCCTTGCTTGCTACTTGACCGTGAACTACATTGGGTCGTCTACAGCCATGAGCAAACCACTGAAGCTTCGCGCTTTTGCGAGCAACATAGCAGAAGAAATGGGGCCTGCATGGTCAGTGCAGCAATGTCGAAGCGTCGCTAGCAGCTCATGAAATGCATCACAGGAACGCACTAGAGCAGCCGGAAAGCCCCTCAGGCACCGAGGAAGAGAAGTCGACTATGGCTCGCTGTATCTGTGCAACATTGAGGTCTTGCGCTTTGTATGGTTTCCCAAGTTTCGAGTGATGATCTGGCAATGGGACAGGCCGGCTTCTTCCTCCGCATCACAATCTGCGACACGATTTTTGCTGCCGCCAGCAGACGACTTATTCCCTGATACGTCTTGAAGGTCTCGCATGCCACGTATCTATTATACTATTCGGGCTGCGAATGATCCACTACATATTCCTCGGAATGCAACAATCTTGCCATGACCGTTCCCCCATCTGACTGCCATCACGCGTGCGATATCGACATCCTCTTGGTACGATTTATGATACACAATGGTATGTTCCATCCCATGGCGCATTCATGGCCGGGAGGACCATGTGCCGCCGATGATGAGACCGGGTACCCACTGTCTACTTCTGGAGCGACGCTTGGATTGCGAATGTCTTCTTTACCGCGTCGCGAGCAAGGAGCTTCTGGTGCCACCTGTCGTTACCCCACCCCGAATCAGCCTCACCTCCGCGTACAGTTTAGCAAAAGAAAACAGCACGCACGCATAGAACGCGGGGTACTCGTTTTCGACGTCCGCATAGCCCTTGATCGAGATATTGATTGCGGCTTCGTTCCAAGTGATGAAGGAAAGGTCAGCGATGGTCGGCTTACCACCGACGAGCCAGCCGCCGTTCTCGGGCTTGGAGAGCACAGAGTCGAGGACGGAGAAGACGCGGAGTGTCTCCTTCTGATAGCGTTCAATCGCAGAAGGGATCCGCTCGGGGTGGAATCTGATGAACCACAGGGCCTGACCAAAGTACGGGCTGCCCAAGTGGGTGAGCCCACGTCGAGGATGATAGAGGGAGACAGGACTTAAGAAGAGAGAAGGATGCAAGGACGGAGACGCACCCTTGGCCGGAGGCTTGGAAGAAGAGCCACTGGATGAGGCTGTACTTCTCGTCACCCGTCACCGTCAGCTTCTTCTCCGCATCATACTTGTCCGTGAGGTAAAGGAGGATCGCATCGGACTCCCAGATTGTGAAGTCGCCGTTCTGGTGGTCGATGAGGGTCGGAATGCGTCCATTCGGATTGAATTTGGTGTACTCTGGCCCCTTCTGCTCAGCCTTGGCGAAGTCGAGGTAGATGGATTCGTAGGTAAGACCGAGCTCTTCGAGGACAAACACAACTTTCCTGTGGAAGCAGTACATTAGACAGGGGTAAGGGAACAGTGGAATCAGCTGAGAATGAGAGCAAAGGAGAGCAGGGCGGACGTACCAGCCATTGGGGCCGGACACTTGAGTATAGAGAGTGAATTGTTTGCTGTGAGACATTGTGCTAGGTACGCGCTAGGCCGAACACGATGGGTGGTAAGGTTCTACGTGAGCAGTGGAAAGACTCGAGCGAGACTCGATGTGGGTGGGGTTGAAGGAGATGTACAATCGTCCATCTATTTAAATGCGGGCGAGAGACATCGACGTGTCCTGTTCCGTACACGCTTCGCGTACTGAACACGTCGCAGAGTAGTACAAAGAGAACGAGTTCTTCACCTGTTCCCTGATTACCATATGATCGGCGTGCTACGTGGAGCTTACCAAGAGTGAGGACGAGCGATTGAGATCGGAGAAGAGGATGGCTTGGTCAGGGTGACGTCCACGCCAACTCGTTGTCGAGCATGTATCGCACTCAATGCTTCAACGTAGACCGAGCCTACTGCAATATTCAGGAGGGACTGGATATGTTCCAATAGCATGACTGATCGGCGCGCGCAGAGTATGTAGAACTGACCGTGAGCGCTGATAGCACCAATAACCGACCATAGTGGAGTTGGAAAGATGACAAACGAGCTTCACTGATGATGAACCTGCGATTGCCGGTGATATGTAAGCAGAGATGCTTAATTCTGTGGGATGGCATGAGTTGTGGTCGTCAGCCTGGTAAATCATGCGGCGAACGCCGGGGCAACCTGCTGACTAATGCCAGCCCGAGGATATGATCTACATGCGCGTCCCTTCGTTAATCGCGCTGCACTCAGAGCGGTTTGCATATAGATAAGCCCTCTCGAAAAAACTATGCTCAGGTTCGGTAAGAGAGCCCACCCAGATGCGAGTCCGATCCGCCAGTCAAGATGCTGCAGGGCACCACCGACTCGGAGAGCCTTGGAGACGCCTTGGACGTCCGAAATCGTCCACGTCCGACTACCTGATCGATATGCAAACCGTTGCACATTTTCCTACCTTCATGATGAACACGCTCGAGGCTCTCTTACATAGTTACATCCTATCTTCATTGCTTGTCCACGCAGCGGACGCCTCAGCTTGCTGGGCCCCACGTCAGCCGTCTAAGCATGGCGTTGACAAATTGCCCGCCGCAGGCGCGTCTGACGTCCGTCTGTCGAGGATAGCACAGCACAGCACACGTGCCTTCCAACACACGTCCTTTCTTCATTCAAGCGCGGCACATTCACTCAACCGTTATGAACGTCCACTCGAACTCCAATCGGTATAAGTTATGGTACAAATGAATACATTTAACTTCACTGCGCATTCCTGGTGGGCCACGTGTCGCGGATGCTCTGCGACCCCGTATCCGCTGTCTACTTCTGGAGCGACGCCTGGATCGCCAGAGTCTTCTTCACCGCATCCCGCGCAAGGAGCTTCTGGTGCCACCTATCGTCGCCACATTCCTGATGAGCCATACCCCTGCCTACGATTAGGGCAAAACGACACTCACGCGTAGAACGCGGGATAGTCCTTCTCGACGTCTGCGTAGCCCTTGATCGAGAAGTTGAGCGCGCCGTTGTTCCACGTGATAAAGGACAAGTCCGCAATCGTCGGCTTGCCCCCAACGAGCCAGCCACCATTCTCAGGCTTTGAAAGGACCGAATCGAGGACAGAGAAGACGCGGAGGGTCTCCTTCCGGTAACGCTCGATTGCAGAGGGCAGCTGCTCAGAGTGGAACTTCAAGAACCAGAACGCCTGGCCGAAGTACGGACTGAGCATGCGCAACGTCAATACGATATGGTTTTAGGGGGAGAAGCGAAGAACGGAGTGCCGAGACGCACCCTTGGCCGGAGGACTGGAAGAAGAGCCACTGAATGAGGGTATACTTCTCCTTGTCGCCCGTCACCGTCAGCTTCTTCTCCGTGTCGTACTTGTCCGTGAGGTAAAGGAGGATCGCATCGGACTCCCAGATTGCGAAGTCGCCGTTCTGGTGGTCGATGAGGGTCGGGATGCGCCCGTTGGGGTTGTACTTCGTGTGCTCTGGTCCCTTCTGTTCGCCCTTGGTGAAATCGAGGTAGACGGGTTCGTAGGTGAGGCCGAGCTCTTCGAGCACGATCGCGACTTTCCTGTAGAAGCGGGTATGAAATTCCGGCGCAGGAAGAAGGCTCATGTCAGCTGAGCACGGCAAGTAGAGGGATTGGACGGACATACCAGCCGTTAGGGCCGCCGAGGTGGGTATAGAGGGTGAACTGCTTTCCGTGGGACATTGTGATTGAGGATGAAGTTCAGATAGAGTGATACAGTCCTCGGCGTACAGATATAAGACTCGAGCCGACAAACGATGTGGGGAAAGAGAGGATCGCACATGTCCATCTATTTAAACACCACACGGGCGACACCACGCGTCCTCGACAGTACACGGCCTCAGGTACGTCGGGAGCGCTGAGCTCGAATAGGACGATTGTTTCCGCCCATCCTTGAATTAAAGTCATATGATTGACACGGCGAAGTGAAGCTTACCAAGAGTGTGAACGATCGATGGAATGGAACGGGAGAGAAGAACGGCTTGGTCAGCGTGACCTCCAGGGCACCCGATTCGAGACAGTTCGTCAAGCGTGGACACCAATGCACGTTCACATGAGAGCTTGGTTTATCCGGGAACGCAAGGAACGCACAACACAAACTTGCGAGACGCAAATCCGTCTCATATGTGCCAAGATTGTACGCGTGTCCACCATTACGTATAGGGTGCCCAACGACGATTGCAATCGTGGTCTGCGATGTGTAAGCGTGGTTCAATGTAGCTAAGGTCGCTGACGGTGTTATCGGGGTGGGATTGCAGACGATGTATGCCAGGAGTAGGACCAGTCACCAATGTTAGGTGTACAGACACGAGGACAGTCGACGAAGGATTCGAGAATGCGCAGGTCATGGCCAGGCGATTGAGAGAGGGCAAGGCCGAGGGTCTATGTGGACAACACTGCCACCAAGAGCTCTATGCCGAGCGAAGCGGACACAATAGGCGCCCAAGATTGTCAAAGAGATCACCTAGGCTTGAGCTTGAGCCTCAGGCCGCTGTCCATGTCCAGCTTTGCTCCGTGATGCTTCCAGATCACTACCATGCCTCACTCTCTCAGATGGTTTGTTCTTCGGCCTCTCTCGCTCGTGCCGGTGAGCTCGGGCGTACAGGTGGGGTGGGACCAGAGATGACATGGGACGGGGTGCCGGCGGAACGGGAGCCATGTCGAAGCGAACGGCATACTGGACCGGTGGAAGTTTTCTCGCGCTGGCGTCCTGCGTCAGACTCAGTCGTCCATAGACGGCCGAGGTTCACTAGGACCAAGGGTCAGCGACAGCTTGCGTCATGGTCGAGGCAGAGAAGCAAGGGCATCGGAAGACCGAAGTGCAGCTAGGGAATGTCAATCCTGAGACGGCAGTAGTAGACGCGCCAGCAACACCAATTGCGGAACCTGAGCTGGAGTACGTCCCTGACGGAGGAAAGCAGGCATGGACGGTCGTCCTGGGATCGACGCTCGCATTATTCGCCTCAGCGGGAATGATCAACGCATACGTGAGCCTCCTTCGTCAACGCCATCGTGCTCCCGTTCTCAATGAATAAGCTCTACCGCAGGGAACATTCCAAGACTACTACGAATCGACGCTGCTGCCGTCGTCGTCATCTGCGTCCATCTCCTTGATTGGATCCTTGCAGGTCTTCTTCCTGTACGCTGGCGGGCCGCTGACCGGCAGGATCTTCGACGCCTATGGCACGTCGGTCAGTACCAAGGTAGTCTCTGTCTTGCGCCTGCCATGAATGACAAGATGCGTACCAGGTGCTAGTCCCACTGGGGTCAGTGCTATGCGTGTTCGCAATGATGATGGTCTCTCTCACCGAGAAGGACCATGCGTACCAGCTCTTCCTCTCCCAAGGTGTCCTCTTTGGCTTAGGAATCGCCCTCATGTAAGTCTGCACTCTATCAGTTTCCCTCGCTTCCGCTGACAGGCTTCTTGCCGTGCCTAGGTTCAACCCCTCGGTCGCAGTTGTCGGGCACTGGTTCCGCCGCCGCCGCGCGACGGCGATCGGAGTCGTCCTTAGTGGAGGAGCCGTCGGCGGGATCGTCTTCCCCATCCTCCTCCAGCATCTCATCCCCATCGTCGGCTTCGGTTGGGCAGTCCGCGTCATCGGTTTCATCATCATGGCATGTTTCATTCTGGCGTGTCTGACGATCAAGACCCGCCTCCCGCTTTCCAGGCACGTTTCCTGGCGCACTGCGATCGACCTTCACGGATTCAAAGACATCCGATATGTGCTCGCTACCATCGCCGGATTCTTGTGAGTTCGCAGCCGAACGACGCGTAATATGTGCAATTCTCAGCACTTTCTTCGTACAGGCTGTTCTACGCCCTCTTCATACCTTACTTCTACATCCAGATCTATGCCTCCTTCCGTGGCGTATCGCCGAACATCTCTAACTACCTGCTCGCCATCCTCAATGCCATGAACGTCCCCTCGCGCATTCTCCCCGGCATGCTCGCTGACCGATTCGGCCCGTGCGTTCTGCTTGACGCGCGTCAATGTCCGTACTGAAGTTCTGACCGGTGACCGTGGAAACAGGCTGAAGTGCTTCATCCCGGCATCTGCCATATGCACTATCCTCGTCCTTGGTCTCTGGCTCCCCTCGCGCGGTGCCGGGACTATCGTCGCCTTCGCCGCATTGTATGGCTTATTCTCAGGTTTGCATTACCCCGCATCTCCAGTAGACTCTCCAGCTCATCACCATCCCACGCGGATCGTTCCCGCAGGTGCCTTCGTCTCGTTGCTTGCGACTTATATCGCGACTATCACCCCACGCGAGGTATACGGCGCCCGACTGGGTACGTGTCTCCTTCGTCCTGGCATCTCGCCTTGCATATACCCTGACAGCCTGCCTAAAGGCTCGGTCTACATCTTCATCGCGGTCGCGACACTGATCGGTACGCCGACCGCCGGCGCACTTTTGAATATCACGGACGAGGAGCACTTCAACTCGCTCATCATGTTCACCGGAGTTCTGCTCGCCGCAGGTACCGTTGTGCTCATAGGGGCGGCGGTCGTGGGCTCAGAGCGCGCGCGCGAGAAGCTTCGAGGAAGGTTCTCCCGTTCATAGAGCAGTGCTCATAAGACTCAGGAACAACGCAGTGCCGAATTGTTACGACCCGGAAGAGATACATAGTGAGTAATATCATTCCTACCGGCTGTACTCTACGTTCACGTTCATTGTTTTAGGACCGGATCGCCTCCCGTGGCTTGAGCGCCAAAGCTGAGGACTTCAGTACTCTGAACAAGCGCTCACATCTTCACGGCAGTCCATCGGGCCGCCAAAGACATGAGACCGGGCCGAAGAAGAGCCTCTAGCGCGCGACCGAGCTATATACAAAGACGGAATGCTGGGCAATGTCGTTCGATGGAGGGACTATATGCTACATCCAGGCGCTGGTTAATACTACAGGTATCGTGCAAAAAGAGGGATTACAATAAACTATGGGCGATCATGACACTACCAAGGCGTGATGCGGTCTATACAGCACTAGCGTGCTCCGCATAGGTGTAGGCTCACCAATATCCGCCACTCCTTCATCTCCCTTCTGCGCGTACACCGCCCGACTTCAACGGATGCACGTCCGGCGCTCTCATTCAGCAGGACACGGCCTCCAGCGCGATGCCCGGCCCCAAGCGATCCATGTCAAAGCCGACCTCCTCGAACTCGAACGCGCTCTCCTCCGCGAAGAACGAGAACCGCGGTGCGTTCACACGAGGCATGACCACTGCAGGGGGAGGCGCCACGGTGAACTGCACCCCCGCGCCCTCGATCTCGTCTGCGAGGGTGCGTAGGAGGGGGCGGACGTCGCTAACCTGAGCTTGAGCGTCCGAGTTGGCTCCGACGTGAGCGGTGTTACGCGACCTGGACGAAGGCAGCCTGACAGTGATATCTGAGCTCGACGAGAGCCTGCCATGATCGACCATCTGGAAGACTGGATGTTCTGTGTTGGCGCGGGGCCCTTCAGACTCGGGGTCGTTGCGGACAACGAGGATCTCTTCCTGCTCGCTTGTATGCGCGTCGACAGTGTCGAGAGAACATCCCGTCGCATTCGACTCGTCGTCTTCGGGAAGGGGCGTTCCGGGGCGGGGAGGAGACTGGTCAGGGACTATCGGGAAGGAAGAGTCCTGCTCAGGTGGAGAGAGGGGTGTCGGCACTGACGAGGACATCGGCGAGATCAACGTTGGGAAGAAACGCTGCTGCAGAAGCTCCCAGCGTTGCAGCCAACGCAGATGACCGAAGGGCGTCCGGCTCTGGGTGGACGTCCCGGCCTCGGCGAGAGACGATGATGTCGTGTTGGAGGTAGGCATCGACGACAGACCGGGGAAGGCGCCATCGTCCTCGCCGTCGCTGTAGATGGACGCAGGCGAGCGAGGCACGGGAAGCTCGTTAGAAGGGGAGGGACTAGAAGGAGGCGGCGCGATTGTACGCTGGCGCTGACGAGCGCGGAGGTCCTCGGCTTGGGAGACCATCTGGTCGAAATACAGGAACCGGCTGATGGCGTACGGCGGAAAGTTGAGGAACATTCTGTCGAGAGCTTCAGAGGCCGGGTCGCGCAGGTCCTCGATGTCCCCGAAACGCGGGAAAATGGGCGACCAGGGAGGGTAGACCAGCAGGCGCGGGGCGCGAGGAAGGGAGAGCGCGCCGGTCGTAGTAGCGACGCGCCCCGTCTCGAGTGAGATGCCATTCGGGCCTCTCCAAGGGGTAGCACGAGAGGATAGGAGGACAGGCGGAGGCGGATAGTAGATTGTAGGTTCGATGTTACCCTCGTCGGGAGAGGACGACGATTCGGACGGGGCGTAGCTTTGGAGGTGCCGACAGTGTTCCTCGTAGTCCCACCAGACGCGATGACGCCGGTTCCAGAACCGCTTTAAATCGAACAGGGATGATGCAGACCAACCATGGTGCGAGTCCGTTCCTTCCAGGAGGGGTTGTGTAGGGGTATTAGGATTCGGTGTGGGGGGCCAGAGGCGCCGGGGTGGTTCGTTCAACAAGGGCGGGGGCGGGAAGCCGTCGTGGAAGCGCTCCCAGTCTTCGGAGTCGATGGGAGTAACAAGAGAGGAAGTGGAAGACTCACTGGACGAGGAGATTGGGGAGGGAGGAGAGGGCGGGCACAGCGGGGAGAGGTCGACTCGGAACTCGAGGTCCTCGCGGTCGTCTCGAATGCCACTGTCGGTGGAGATGCCACCCCCGCTCTCACCGGCAATGAGCACGTCTCCCGAGTATCTAGGACAGGTGGTCTTGATTGGAGGGAGGTGCGGAAACGCGTTGCGTGTCGCGTTGGTGCGGACGAGTTGGGGGCGACGGTGTCCTGCGCGGGAGGGAGCGCGACTGGGGACGTCTCGCGAGTCGTCAAGACTGGCGTTCATCGTTACTAGTCGTAAGGAGTGCTAATAAGCAGTCTGTCAGAAAGCTCCGAGAGGCTTGAAGGAGTAGCCGACGCACGGGTGTGGCTTGTGGTCGGTCGTTGGGATACTATAGGGTGAATGACGGGTGCCGGGTCGTGTGCTGGACACTGGGTCGGGGTAGAGGCCCTGACGTTGGAGATGGCTGCTGGGATGTGCGCAGCAGGGGTGGACGAAAGTCGGGGATGACGGAGAGCGTGTGGCGGGCGTTGTGGTTGTGGACGAGCTGCAGCAACTGTCTGCTCCCAGTCCAACACCGCGTAAATCACGGTCCGCGAGTTTCTCACGGCGCGCGCACCCTTCGCGCGCAACCTCTTCGGGCGCGTCCTGGGCGGTCTATTTCCTGGATCTCCTCCCTCGTCTGCAGAGAAGCAGAGGGGGGGCAAGTGACGGACGAGCAAGGTAGACAAAGATGGCGCTGTCATGTCGCGACACGGTGAGCTTGGTCAAGTCGAACGGGTGCATTCTCTAGTCGCTACATGGGGTGGCTTCCAGTAAGTAGGAACATCGCCTGCGCGATCGTCTAGAATACGTGGATGCATGGGCGCGTCGGGCCAGAGGCCTGCGCAGAGCATTGCCCAAACGCGTGGGCATTGGATTAATGTACAGGGACGAGTAGCGATGACGAAATGTGAGACGAGGAGCGCGAAGAATAGGGAAGCGTCTTGCGAAGACTACCGAGCATGTGGCGAAGCGTGGACTGGGTAGTGCATGCGATTCGGAGGGACGGAGTCGATGAACCGAGAGGACAGTCGTGTGAGATGGCAAGACGTTGGCAGTGTACGACGTGCGTGTGAGTGAAAGGTAGGGTGATAAGGCGAACTGAGCAAGGTAAAGTGACCGCTGTTTATTGGATTGAAATAGACGAGGAGATGGATGAGGACTATAGACGTGCGGCCTTTGGGAGGGCGGGGATAAGGTGGGAGGAGGTCGTCGAGGCAGAATGCATGGACTGGAGGGATCTGCTCACTAGAAGATCTTGATTGAATGAAGCCGGGTGCGAATGGGTGCACGCGGAGGAAGAGGTCGAGAGCCTATTGATGGTGTATGGGACGGCCGGCTATTGGTCTGGACAAGGCAAATGGGCGCGATGGAAGGGTGATATGGAGGGTCGGGCATGATGGAGCGATGGCAGGGGAGACATGTTCGAGGATTGCGTGTACGTCTACTGAGCATGTTGCGCGTGGACGGAAGGCGGAGGGGGCTTCTGGAGCATGTGGAGGTGAGATGGGAAGACCGGTGCGTGGTACGAATACGTCGCTCAGACGAGGCGGCTCGGGCGAGGATTGGGGCGAGGATTGGGGGGATCGGAGGGAGGGTGGATGGATGGAGGGTGGATGGATGGAGGGTGGATGGATGGAGGACGGTTGCAAGAAGCATCCGAGCCTTGCGAGCCTTGCGATGGGCGGCACGCCTCGTCGGGCGCACACCCGGGCGCACACCAACGACGGCCACACGTGTCTCCCTTCTCTCCCTCCATCTCAAAAGGCCAACGTATACTTCCAAGTGCTCTCCCCTCGACCTTGCACGCACTCCCATCTCACCGCATCCCACCATCCGCCTCTCTTCACGACGTTAACCCTCCAACCCACATACGCCCCAGTCCATGGCCGATCGCCAGAAAGTCGACGCCCCCACCGGCTCTGATGCTGGCTCCCTCTCAAAGGCAGATGGCGCAGGCCCCAAAGCCATCATCAAGAACGTCGACATGGGCGACGACATGCAGCAGGAGGCAGTAGACATCGCTTCCGCCGCCCTCGAGAAGTACAACATCGAGAAGGACATCGCCGCACAGATCAAGAAGGAGTTCGACAAACGCCACGGTCCTACCTGGCACGTCGTCGTCGGCAAGAACTTTGGCTCCTATGTCACCCACGGTATGTACTTCCTCTTGCAATCAGCCGTCAGATTCTCTTCGGTATGTGGCGGGTGTACCGACTAGGCTGACCGGTAACCGTACAGAAACCAAGCACTTCATCTACTTCTACATTGGCTCCCTTGCCATTCTCATCTGGAAGTCATGAGTCACTTCCACCCTAGCCGGAGACTCGAGGAGCTGGAACGAGCAGCAAGTCGCCGTGCAGGGAAGGGCGTTGGATTGAAGGTCCACCGGGGCATGCGTTCCACGCTCGCATACTACTGGCAGCAGAAGCAGCAGCAGCAGGGGTCTTGGACGGTCGTACGTTGTATACATCTTGCTTTCCCGTAATTGTGAAATCTCGCTCTCGTTTTCCGTCTTTCGCCCGCACTCTTGTGGTGAGCTCCGTACATAAATTGCCAAGTCCAACCATTCGAGCTCGTGCTTTCCAATGACACATTAGTTCTGCGTCTCTCACTATGCCAAGGCAAGCATCTCTTCCGCCAGTTTACTGACTGCGACTAAGGCACCCGCGCCGGTGCATCGTGCATGTGCGCTCGAGCGCCGTTTCCATTGGGCTGCAATGAGACGTAAGTGCCTCTGATGCAACGCGTGATCGTTCTCCATATTGCCTTGACCGTGTATTTGGAGCGGCAATACTTGAGTTCCAGCTGTTTGCGGCGCTCGTGTATCCATAGGGCTTCGCCTGGCAATGCGTGGACGCCGGTGGGTATCAAGCAGGGCCCCTGCAGCGAACTAGTTTCATATGTAGAATTACCATTCATTCACCAAGATTTTGCCTTTTATCGCTGTGACCAGGCGAGACCTGGGACTCGACGCGTTCAAGGATTCGGCAAGTGGTGGTCCGTACGTGCGGTGTGTCTGCCTGTAGATTGCAAGGCTCAGTCAAACAGAGCAACATCCTCGACTACGGTCAGTCGACGAGTCGAGACGCTACGGTAACGCGAGTAGATTTCAGTCGGTCAGTCAGGAAGTATGGCGATTACGTAATCACGAGGGAAGAGACGAGGACTTGTCGCAGAAACAGACATTCGGACCTCTCAGCACCGGACTCCTCCCTCTCCGCCTCCGCTGCCTGTCCCTCAACCACCACCATTATCTTCCCATCATGGCTACCCGGCAATCCTCCCAACCTCAACATTCCAGACGCACCAACCAGTCTGTCTCTTCAAATGCCTCCGCATCTTCCTCTCGTAGCGAACGCGCATCCTCACGTCCTCAGCAAAGCGTGAGTACTCCTGATCATATGTTACTGCCTACCACGCGGCGGGCCTCGTGCTCGCCCCCTTCGATCCAATCGTCCATCTCTGGTTCGGTGGCATATCATCTCTTTCGGTCCACATTCTGCTACAAGTATGCCTAGCACATCCCCAAATCAACACGCGGCGTCCTACTCCTTGCGACTTCCTCTGCACGTTTAGCCTCTGGCTAGTGGCTCGACGAACGTGTCCGCCATCGCGGCAAGATTATCTTAAGGTCCGACGTGCTCAAAGCCCCCGACAACTTCTGCCCAGTCGATGGCTCTCTGTCCACCCGACATGTGGTAGAGGCCTCCTTGGACTCTGTGTCTCCGTGCTCCACGCGGTCTATCCTTCTGACGTCTGCTACGAAGTCTCGGAGGCATACCACAAAGACCATTCTACGAATCCCTCCTTGATACTCCCCAATCACCCCATTTGCGCTTCCTATCTCTTGCGTTCCCATCCTCAATCGCCGTTTTCTGACTCCTTGTTTAGCCCGCTGTCGAATCCGCCGTAACAAGATTATTGGTTTCTATCAAAGCCCTCCTCGAATCACTCACGCAATGGAGCAAAAGCTCCGTCGACGAGAATCAAGTCAGTGATGTTTACGTCCGACTTGGAAATGACTTCAACTCTGCTGTGGCCGCCTTTGGAGCCTTCGGGATCGACATGAGGTACGTCCTCGCGCGTGTTAGCCCGTTCACACGTGCACCATATAAGACCTCCCTTCAGCGAACTTGCATCCGTACCAGAAGACCTCCGCTCTGTCCTCGAGGCCTGTCTCTCAGAGGACGCCACGCCCGAGAACCTCGAGGTTTACCTCCCCGAAGTGCGCAAGATTATCACCAGCCTTCTCCAAGGACTACGTGGAAAGCAGTCCATATACCGACGCATCGTCTCCGATCAAAAGCGTTCTGAAGGAGGCAGTGATCGGGACTCTCGCTCATCGAGATCAGAACGCCCGCGGGGAGACGACCGCGACGCCGCTCGTCAGTCCTCCCGCGGGCCCACGCCGTCCACCGATGGACCGCCTTCACGTAGCAAGACGCCCTCCGGCTCGTCAAGACGTAAGCCATCCACCTCTGAGAACGTTCCACCCCCCGCTATGCCAAACGGGTCAGAACCGTTCGTCGGCGGGTTCGCTCCACCCGGCGCCTCTGCAGACCCCGACACACGGCCATCGCGTTCCTCTACTCCCATGCAGGCTCGTCCATCTTTCACACAGTCAGGCAGCTTCCAAGCTCCCCGTGCGTATTCCACTTCTTCAGCCGACCCCAACTTCCCTCGCGATCCCCGATCACACACAAACGGCTTCGGCACACCCCCGCCTCCCGAACAGCCTCTCCCTCCTCCACCTCCCGCCCAAGCACCAGTGCCCAGCCACGTCAAGCGATTTTCGCTCGTTGACGCTCCTGTCCCCCCACCCCCATCTGTAGTCGTCAATGACGGCTCTCCCGCTCCTGGAGTAGCTTCGTTGGATGGCAACTCCCCTCCCACAAGCCCTCCTGCGGAGAACTCGCCGCTCGATCAGAGCGCGCCCGCGGTCCAGACGTCGCTCGCCGCGCTGAAGAAGGCCGAGGCGCTCGAGCGGCGCGCATCGAAGCGCTTCTCGACGTACAACATTTCCAAGATGACCGGCGGCGGCGGCGGCGGCTCCATGCGCGTAGCGGGGGGCGGCGGGGGAAACCGCCGCTCGCTCCTCGCCGCGAACGGGATGCTCACCCCCGCGGAGCTTGCTGCGCTGGCGGAGGAGGGCGAGAACGCGAGCCCGAGGAAGAAGGGTGGCAAGTCGGGGAGAGCAAGGGGCCCATCGCCGATCGCGGAGGGCGACGAGCCTCCGCCTGTGCCGCCGCTGCCCCAGACGAAGAGCCCATCGCCGCAGCTGCGGCCGGTGCCTGATCAGGATAAGGAGAAACCGGCGGACACAACGCGCGTGTCCACTGCCGAGTCCGAGAGCTCGGGGCCGCCGACAGGGCCGTTCCCGGTGTTCTTGCAGGTGGGGAGGGAGGTGAAGAAGGTGATGATTGAACCTGGGATGTCGCTGGCGACGCTGCGAGTGTTGTTCGTGGACAAATTCTCGTATAGTCCGGGACAAGACAACTTTCCAGCGATTTATATCCGAGATCCCTCTAGTGGGGTGCAGTACGAGTTGGAGGACGTGGACGAGGTGAAGGAAAAGGTTCTGTTGTCGCTCAATATCGAACGTGAGTCTGCGTTTGAGTCTTGGAATGACGTTCAGACTTCTGACGGGAGTTTCCTAGCCCTTGACCAGATCAAGCAGCACATCGACTCCCAGATATCGACACTGCAGCAGGATATCAAGGACCTCCGAACCGCTGTCGTCAGCAACCGACGTACATCCACCATCATCACCCAGCCTATTGCGGAAAGCACGCCCGTCGCGCCTCGACCTTCAGAACAGAAGTTTCGCGATGTCGCTCGTCGTATATCGCGCTTACTTCCCGACCATGGTGGATTCCCTGAGCGTTCTCAGAGCCCGACGCCGATCGCAGAGCCGTTACAGCCTCAATTCACCGGTGCCACGCTCCAGCCTCAGATGACGGGCATGTCTATGGCGTCCGAGTATACCACACGCGTCGTCTCGGATCTGAAGACTCAGTTTGACGAGGTGCAGAACCTTCGGCGCGACCTGGGCATCATGCGGCAGCTGTACACAGAGTTTATGAAACAAACCAAGGAGTCACTCGGCACGCTCCGGCAGCAGACGCAGACGGTCAAGCAGCTGTCGACGCAAAAGGTCGGCGGCGCGCGCGCGTACATCGACACTGGCAAGGCGAAGCTTGACACCCGCTCGTCGAACGTGCTTACGAAGATGGAGGAGCTGCAGGACACCGTCGAGGGTATCAAGGACGACGTGCTGAAGCGCAATGTGTCCCCAAAGACGTTCTTCCTCAAGCAGGTCAAGGGCGATATCGATTCGGCCGCGACGGAGCTGCAAAGTCTCAGGGACCACATCCAGACGATCAAGCCGATGTGGAAGAAGACGTGGGAGGAGGAGCTGCAGAATATCGTCGAGGAGCAGCAATTCCTCCAGCACCAGGAGGAGTTCCTCGAAGACCTGTTCGAGGATCACAAGGCTGTCGTCGAGGTCTTCGGACACGTCGAGAAGGTCATATCCCTGCGTGGATCGGCGTCGAGCAAGCGCCGGGCGCCCGCGTTCAGGCCGCCGCCAATGGAAGAGGGTCACGGCGGGCTAAGCACGGTGATGTTGGAGATCAAGAGCGCGGCGGTGGACCCAGAGAAGCGCTTGAAGGCGATCGCGGCGAATGAGAAGAATAGGGAGCGTGAGCTCGCGAGCCGGTCAGACGAGTTCCAGACGGAACTGTCGGGCTTCGTCGCGGGCAAGAAGTTGCGGATGACGGGCGGGGCTGAGGAGGTGGAGCGGGTGCGGCAGAGGAGAAACGAGCTCACATTGAAGGCGATGTTTAACGGAAGCGGGAGTGGAGGGACAGCGTCGCCCGTCGTAGGGACGGGGAGTGCTTTACCATCGCCTGTTGCGCCGAATCCGCCGGACGCTAGTGCGCACGGTGATGCCTCGACGACGACTGTGGACCCTGCGTCGGAAGCGGCTTCGTGATAATGTATGCCTAGAGACCCAGACTAACGATACCCCGGTTATGCTTCGAGCACTGATAACCACAGCGGACGAACTATGAGTAACGAAAGCGGTCTATGCCGTCCGCTGTCGCATATGCGTTCATTTTCCGCTCGCACTGACAATTGTTTGTCTTATTTCTCTCTTGTAGACTACCGCGACGTCCATTCAGTCTTAACAGCTTTCGATCTTTTGAATTTACTCTGCTGGAGCTGGAGCCGGGCGATGGGCGCTTTGGGGCACGTGAAGGGGTTGAGTATCGGTCTTTGGCGAGTTTGGGATTTGTTCCTCTCCGTCGTCGTCGTCGTCGTCGTCGTCGTCGTCTTCATCGTCGCCAACGTCGCCAGTCGCACCCCACTCGCAAGTCGCTGGCGCAGTCGTCGCCGTCACTTCGCCACGCTTCTCTCTGTCTCTTGATAGCTGAGGTCGCTGGGCGACTGCCGTCACTCGCCAGTATCGCTTGTTCTCCCCATCACTATGCTCTTCATTCTTTTCTCCCTCCTCCCCTTGGCAGTCCTCGCCGGCACATCCTCTGTCTCCGTCTCGTACGCCCTGGAGGACCAGCTGCCGCTCATTGCCCGTATCAACTCTCATTTCTCCTGGTCGTTCTCTCCTGACACGTTCGTTTCCGACGCCGACAATGTCACGTTCAACTATTCGACCTCCCCCCTCCCCTCCTGGCTCTCGTTCGATCCCTCCACTAGAACGCTTTCTGGTACACCCTCGGAGACGGATGAAGGGTCCCCTCAGGTCACCATCACTGCGGCGGACTCGAGTACCGGGGAGAGCGCGTCGTCTTCTATCACTCTGTGCGTAACGCCTTACCCTCCACCTCAACTCCACATCCCCGCCGAGGAGCAATTCATCCCCGACAACCCATCACTATCGTCCGTCTTCCTGATCTCGAACACCTCCGCCTTGTTCAACTCGCGACCCGCACTGCGTGTCCCGCCGAAGTGGTCCTATAGCATCGGGTTCCAATACGATACCTTCCTGGCTCCCAATAAGATCTACTATGCCGCCCGGATGGCAGATGGCAGGCAACTGCCCGACTGGATCAAATTTAACGCTAATGAACTCACCTTTGGCGGCGTTACTCCCCTGGCGGACAGCCTCACTTTGCCGCACACCGTCCAGGTCGCCTTGCACGCTTCTGATCAGCTAGGCTACAGCGCGGGGTCGATTCCTTTCGACATCGTTGTTTCTGCTCACGACTTCGCTCTGGAGACTTCGGCGAACTCTCTGCCTACCATTAATGTCACGACTGACCAGCCGTTCAAGCTGACCCTGAACTCTGCGGTGGACTTTTCTGGGGTTACTGTGGACGGCCAGCCAGTCACGCCCGCCAACATTACTTCTTTGCAGATCGACACGTCTGGTCTGGAGGCCTGGCTACATTTCGACGACCAGAACAAGACACTCACTGGGGATCCTCCAGACGAGTTCACTGATGGAATCCTGCCTGTGGTCTTGACCTCTGATGTGAACCAGACGCTTCACACGACGGTTATGCTCGCTGCTGTTCCGTCATTCTTCTCCGCCGGTGAGCTAGACCCGATCTTGGTTACTCCTGGCGACTCCGTGTCTTTCAACCTGGGGTGGTTCTTCTCCAATACTAGTGGTCTGGGGAGAGGCTCTGACATCGAACTGTCTGCTGCGTATGATCCTATCGAGGCTGGCTACTTCCTCTCGTTCGATTCGACCTCTGACAAGTTGTTTGGGACCGTCCCTGTCAACGTCTCATTCGACCATGTTGCCGTGACATTCACTGCCTACTCGCACATCACTCACTCAACCTCGCATACATCGCTGCCGCTCTCGCTCTCTGCGTCCGACTTCGAGAACGATCACAATAAGAACGGCGGAGGAGGCCTCTCAGTCGCAGCTCGAGCGAAGGTACTGCTCGGGCTAAAGATCGCCTTCGGCATCATCGCTGGTGTCGTAAACCTCGCCATCATCTTCGCCGTGATTCGCCGGTGCACTCGCGTTCCGGATACCGCGCTCGTGGGCGAAGAAGGTCGGAGGGGGTGGACGGCGGAAGAGCTGAAGTGGTACGGAATCGGCATCGAGGTCAACGGTGAGAAGTACGAACCCCCCTCGGTTGATAGCGAAAAGGGCTATGGTACCAGCGAGGCGGCGTTAGCTGGCTCTGGCCTTGGGTTGGGACCAAGCCTCTCTCGGATTATCACACGCACATTTTCCAACAGTCGTGGATCGCCTCTCAGCCCTGTCGGCCTACCACAAAGTCCGCCTGTAGTCAAGAAAGTGGAGTTCTTGGGCAAGATACGGCAGACGGCTCGCATCGTAAGTGATAAATATCGCCGCGTCGTGAGCGGTCCTCGGCGACCTATGATCTCGAAGCCGACCCTCATACTCACGGGCGAGAACGCGACACGACTTCCTCCAATCCGTACCGGCATCGAAGGTCTCCCATACACGAACGCTGAGGGTTTACTTCCCATGGTTGTTCCCCGATCCCAGCACGATCTGCGACCATTCGAGGAGACTACTCTTATCCGCTACGCTCCGAGCGATCTGACTACTCCAACCGACTCACCTTCGTCGTCCACGGATGGTCGATCGATCCCACGTCGTCGTGCCGACTTCGCACCACCGAAGGCCATCACTTCCCCTCCCCAGGCCCACCTAGGAGATCAAGAGCATCGCTCCGTCGCCTCGGTTGCGTCATCTCTGGACACGAACTCGTCCGCTCGGACCCACGAGGCGGAGGCAGTGATTCAGCATGCCACTCGCGCGATGAGCGTGCGTAGTGCTACCAGCGTATTCTCTGCCCCATGCGAAGATGTACGGCCAGGCGAGGCAGCCCGCCCTCGACTTGTTCCGTTCACCAGCGCGACACGGGTCCCGGTCCCCAAAATGCCGTCGTCGTTTTTCTCGCCTGATCCGGACCATTCGACCCAGCAGACCCCTGGTCAGCACAAGACGAAACGAGTAGCGAGCCAGATGGCGAAGGTGTTCAGGAATGCAGCGGCAGACCCCGAAACGGCATCGACTGCTGCAAACATCCCGCAGGCTACGGCAGAGGACGATCTGCAAACCAGCGCCCAATACGTGCAGGCGTTGGGTGACCAGGGCGGCGGCCCTCCTACCACCGCTCAGGGTAAGCATCTGTTCCACGTACAACAGTGCTCGTCATGACGTGTCAGCGCTGACCTGACTCCATTTCCTTGTCTAGGAGAGTGCTCAGCTGCAGTGTCGTCCGTGGACATCGAGGCACCGCACACTGGCAAGCAAAAAGCTACACGTCCGCCTGCAGTGCCGCGCATGCTCGCGCGCACTGGCGAGCGATTCAAGTTCAGAGTGCCGGTCGCGCTGAGGTCAGCGGTGGCCCAGATGAAGTCGAAGGGCGATTTGGAAGCACGTCTGGTTTCAGGGAAGCCGTTGCCAAGGTTCATCAAAATCGACACGGATGCCGTTCCCAGCGGGGCTGGCGCGCACCAGCAGAAGCGCGTCGTCGAGCTATCAGGCGTGCCAGTCTCTCCAAATATCGGGGTCTATGAGATTGGATTGTACGAGCAGGAGGGTGGGAAATGCGTTGGAAAGGTGGTAGTGGAGGTCGTAGCGAAGAAGCCGGCGTGAGCGCGGGCGTTGCGCCTAGGGCCTGTTCGCGCTGCGAGGGCCCTTATGTATGTACTCTACACATTTATCATGCACATTGCTAGCTTAGAACAATTCGTTGGATGTATCTCCGAGTCGAGGTCCTCACGCGTCCGTCACGAAGCACAAAGTTGCGGCTCGGCGTGCATGTTCCGATGCCTCGTCCGAATCAGCCGGGCGTGCAACCCTTGTGTGAGCTCAGATTATTAGATACCGTGTATGTATGTACGCGTTGGATTGCCGGCTCGCGTAGGGATCAGATTGCGTCTGGAGGGAGCTTAGCGAGGGCGGGTGTAAGCGGTATCTGATAAGATATGGTACGATGTGGCAATCTCGTCGCTCGCTGCGGCCGCGGATTTGGAGGAGCACACCCTGCGCGCTGCTCTTGCCAATCTCTACTTAGGCATCTCCCACAATATGCCAACGGAGCCCTTTCCTCTCTCCTTCCCCTCATAATACCCCTCTTTAATCCGCCAGACCTATCCCCATGTCTCGCAGAGGCTACAGTCTCATTCCCCAGTCGCCTACAGCAGGTTCGTATCCTTCCCCGGGGACTCGCGTAGGTGCGGGCTAACACCGCCCTTGGCCTATTTCCTACCTGTAGACGGGCGCGATGTTTCGCCCATCGATACCCGCCGTTCTGTTCTCAGTACAGTATCCACTCTAGACCCGGAAATCGCGGAAGAGCTGGAGGCCGAGGAGGACGCACACGTTGGAGTTAGGACCGTCGAGGCAGCAGAGCAGGTGTTCGGAAAGCACTCTACATGGTTCCTGTTCATTGGGTACGTCTTGGAGTTCATGATGGCCTTGCGCGTCCCTAAACTACGCGCTCCGCAGAATTGGGCTAGCTTCCTATGTCTACTCGCTCGACAACCAAACGACGTCCAACTACCTCGCCTTTGCCACCTCGTACTTCGGCGCGCACAGCCTCATATCGTCCATACAAGTCGTTCAATCTATTCTTGGCAAGTTCTGTGCCTATGTACCCCATGTAGCATGCATTGAATATGGGTGGGCCGCAGTTGCCGTGGGGAAACCTATCATCGCAAAGGTCGCGGACGTGACCTCTCGTGCTACTGCATATCTTGTCGTTCGTAAGCCCTTGTTCCTCCTCATAGGCTAATACAAGAGGCTTACTCGGCTGCGCAGTCGTATTCTATGTGTCAGGTACGTCTTGTGATTGCGTAGTTGGACAGGCCGCCCACCAGGTCCCCAGGATATGCTATCATCGCCTCCGCACCTAGTGTTGGTGCTATCGCTATCGGAATTGTCTTCTATGCTATGTAGGTGCCACCCTACCCACGTTGGCTGGTCAGATCTAAATGTGCACATGTCGCAGCGGATACACGTGTGTCATACCACTCAACGGTCCTGGACGAACACTGAACGGAACGGATACAGAGGACTGCAGCTGCTCACGTCTGTTATCATCGCTGATATTACCACTCTCAAATGGCGTGGCCTCGTCTCCGGTATGACATCCGCCCCGTTCCTTGTGAACGCCATCATTGGCTCGAAGGTCGCCAACGCCGTGCTCGAACATCTCGGATGGCGATGGGGCTGTAAGTTCCCCGTTATGCTATCAGTCGCCGGATATCACTCAGACGTGCACAGATGGCATGTTTGCCATATTGGTCCCGGCCGCGTTGACACCCCTGATCCTTACGCTCTTCTGGGGAGAGCGACAAGCCAAGAAGCTTGGATTGGTCGACGCACCCCTACTTCGCGCAGATATAGCGCCACGGGTGAAGGGGAGATTCTTGCGGAGCGCATGGCTATTTGCCGAGCAACTCGACCTCGTCGGTCTCGTGCTACTGGGCACCGCTGTTGCACTCATTCTCCTTCCCATGACCCTCGCACAGCGCGCCAAGAACAGCTGGAGCAGTCGTGCGTGCATCCGGATGCTCCTGATTGTTGTGAAACAGCTGATGTTTTACCGTTCCAGCGAACATGATCGCGATGCTCGTCCTCGGCTGGATCTTACTTCCCGTCTTCGCTCTCTGGGACATCAAATTCGCTAAGCGGCCTGTCATCGCCCGAAGATTCTTAACGAATAGGACTGTCGTCTTCGTGGCCTTCATCGGATTCTTCGATTTTGTACGTACTCGATCGACGCGAACTGCTTCCGGCGGCTAGATCTGAATATCACGTCCAACGCCCATAGCTCTCGTTCTTCTTGACCTTTACGTATCTATCCTCCTTCGTTCTGGTGACGAAGTCATGGTATACATCGTTATTCTCGTGATCTCGTTTTCTTGCTCACGTGCATCAGGTCAATGACGGACGTCTTCTACTTCGGCCAAGCGCAGACGGTGGGGTTGACCGTGTTCGGTATCCTCGCTGGCATCATCATGCGATTCACCCAGCGCTACAAGGTGCGTACTGAGTTCGCACCCAGACGTAACTTTACTGACACGCTCGTCTAGTCTCTCCTCGTCGTCGGTCTCTTTATTCGTCTAGTGTGCGTCCTGTCGTTTAGCTTAACTCACCATTCTTGGCTGATTCCGGCATGCATACAGCGGCGTGGGTCTCATGATCCATTCGCGCGGCCAACACAGCTCCGATGCTGAGCTCATCTGGACACAAGTACTCCAAGGCCTCGGTGGCGGATTCGCGGCGATTTGCTCTGGCGTAGGTGCCCAAGCTTCCGTTCCGCACGCCGATGTTGCCATGGTCATTGCGATTGTCCTTCTCTGGACCGAGATCGGCGCAGGCGTTGGCGGTAGCATTGCCGGAGCAATCTGGTCGGGTTTAATGCCCGATAGACTTAGGCAGTACCTCCCAAATCTCTCGCAGGAGGAGCGCGACGTGCTGTTTGGCGATATCACGGCCGTACGCGAGCGGACGATGGACGACCCCGTACGCCAAGGCGTCATCAGTGGTAAGCTTTGTCTACATTCTGATGCTGCCACTTTGCTCAAATAGCGATCAATAGCGTATAGCGATACTATGAAGATTATGCTAATCCTCGCGACCGCTTTGAGCTTCATTCCGCTCATCCTCTCCATCTTCATGCCTAACTGGTATCTCGGCGACCAGCAGAACGCTGTCGAGGAGGCGGACTTCAGCAGCAGACGAAGCCGAGGTGCGTCGCTCGTAAGGCCGCGTCCAAGCGAGGATGAGGACAATAGGGAGGTTTAAGTAGCGAGATATACGATGTTGTTTCAGGACAATGTTCGCATAGGATGTATTCCTCGCTTTGTTGAACTGAATGGCCTGCCTTTTCTATCCCTTGCGCCGATTCTCCTATATCCGCCTTGTTTATCACAAGAATGAGGTCTGTTAGAATGCGCTTACTACAGAGACACAGCTTGAAGACTTCACCCGAACCTTCTCCCCGTCAAGAGTGACGTCCTCCATCTTACTCGCGAACTTATCCGCACACCCACACGCCAGCTCTCCACTCTGCGTCGAAAGGACAAGGTGCCAAGCTCGCTCTTTCCAGACGTTGCGCTGAAAGTGTTCCCAGACTTTTTGAAGCGCGATCAAAGGGGACTTCGAGTCATTTGGAAGAATGAGGTTACCTCGACCAGAGTCCGTCAAATACGGACAGCTGTCCCGCGCGGACGCTTCAAGTCTTGTGCGCCGGAAATAGCCTCCCAGTGCGCTCCGACATTGCACGTCATCTGGAGTCCCCAACTCATGGGTGCACCTGACAAGCTTGAATGCAGTCGTCACGTCAATGGCCGCTGGGGCAGAGGCCGTGAGTGTTAGGTAAGGTATATATTCAAAGTTACACAAGGACCGTTCAAATTGGAGTGGACTCAGTCTCTTTGAGTCAGACATTAGGTCCGTCCTTGCTCGAGCGCTGATTGTTGCACGAGTCACGGTATAGTCTTCAACCAGTCCTTTCTCAGGTTCCTCTTGTAGAAATTCGGGCAATAGAATCATGTTTGGCTGAGTGCAAACGTGTGCCATACAACATGATCACTGAGAGGTTATGCTGGAGTAAAGAATGCCTTAACAAGGCCAAATAAGGGCATAGGTAGCTGCCAGAAGGTAGGTGGGCCTGTGAATAGTGACAGTCTGAAATCCGAAAACTTGGAACAAGGTCCACAGCTTCTCAACAGCTAAAGCAATCGTCTCCAAACCAAGGAGAGGCCGTGGGCTAGGTCGTGGGGCACCTGGGACACCAGCTTGTTCCAGGTGAAACAGCCTGGTTGTGGTGCTACGGACCTTGTTCCACCGAAAACCTGGCACCATGGGGCTTGGTGCCAGTTTTCTAGGGATAGGTACAGAATGGTCCATAACTCCTCAACCAGAGCACTTATGACCATGCAAAAAGGTGCGTCTGGTAGCCCTAGCCATCCCCTACATAGAATGGGGCCTTGTTCCAGCTTGTTCCAGCCTTTAGCCACCTCAAAAGGCAAAATACTCGAAATTCAACCTTGGAAAAAAATGGAACAAGGTCCATACCTCCTTAACCAAGGCACCTATCCTCAAGCAGCAACTTGCATCTCATAGAGGACCTCCTGGGGCATCCTAGAACCCACCTTGTTCCAGCTTCCAGCCATATCTGAAGGCCTAGGACACCAAAAAAGCGGACCACTGCAACTTAGGTGGCATCTTGTACCCCCCATAGCTCCCAAACCAGAGCAGCTATTCACTAGCTCTCAAGTGCCCTAGATAGCCCCATCTGAGA